TTTCAAACCCAAGGGGGAAAACATCCCCCAAATGTCTCTTCCATCTCCTGGACAGTCCAAATGCAAGAATGATGCATCAAGTAGCTAATGTACCCTTTCATGGCACTCCAAAACAGCTGCCTAAGGCAGACACATCATTCTGTGGCAAGAGCCAGCTCTGTTTCTGGGCTGGTTGCTCTGCTGTTGTTAGCAGCCCCTTGTGATTCAGCGGCTTTCCTGCAAGGGTCCAGGAATGAGACAGGCGCCTGGTATCTTAGCTTTTCATCACAGCAAAAGAACTTCAACTCTGAAGAGCATCTGGGTTGTAAAAACACAACTTGACCATGAATCCATGTATAGTCATCACCTTGGCAAGCTACTGTTTTTCTACTCTGAGCCACTCTGTCTGAAAGGTCTATGTTGACAGCACTTTGGGGTGGGAAATGTGGGCAGCCCATCTATGATGATAGGGGCATGATTGCTCCTGATTTTTCTTCTCCTGCAGCTACAGGAATGCATTAGGAAGCTGCTGCCTGGTGTGGCTTTTTGGCATTACACCCATGAGTGTCATAGGCAAAGATCCAAATGTGGGTTGTATGTTACTTTTACTTGTATGGTATGTGGGTTGTATGTTCTGGAGAGACACACCCTTTCTTGGGTGCAGATACAATTGCAGGAAAATGGCAGGGAGGGGGGCAGTTAAAAATAGGTGTAAGTCCAGAGAGGATAGAAATAAATATACTGAAGAGTGGAATGAACTTCCAAGTCAACTGACCTAGGATTGCAGTTTCAAAGTATAAATTACTTACAGTATGATCCTATGTACTGTTACTCAGAAGTAAGCCCATTGAGTTGAGTGAGCTTACTCCCAAGAAAGTAGATCATATTGCAAAGGACAGCAGATAGAGTGCTTGCTTCTAATATCTCTAGACTGCATGAAAGTTTACCAGAAGAGGGCAAGCAGAATTCTCAAGGAATTCTTTCCTTGTGCTATTTCACATGTGAAGGCAGCAACCTCTAGATTCAGAAATGCGCCTATGTCTAAAGCAGTCTTCTCCAGTATGGTGATCCTCAGATATATTAGGCCATAACTCCCATCACCCAAGCCAATGTCTGGAGGGCACCAACTGTCTCCTCCTGTTCCAGAGGGAAGGTTGAGGCCTTTGCCCTTAATGTGTCCCTTCAGGGCATGAAGGTAAGCTCTGAATCAACCAAAGCGAGAACTAGCACAGGAGTGACTTTACAGGCTGAGTGTCATCCCTGCAAGACAAGCTGGGTGAGAAAGCATCTCCAGGCTACTGCTGAAGTTTAGATTTTCTAACTGGACGAGGCTGGTCTGGACAGTCCAGGAACAGAATGAGATACTTGAACCTGGCCTTAGAGGCATGTGATGCCCGCCTTGCCATACAGGGAGAAAGTGTGCATGGCGGAGGGAAGGTCCCAGTTTTTCATCCAAAACCTTTGCTCAAGAAGCCCTCAGGTCCCAGCAGAGAGACCCTGCAGTACTGCTGCCATTCCCAAGCGTTAAAATGTGATGTCACCATGCCTTGACTCCGTCGTCCATACACGCAGCAACCGATTTGCACGCCAAGTAGCTAGTAGATCCCCCGGAAATTATTTCCCAAGTAAGCCTTTCACGTGCAAGCTTGAGCTGTGGCATGGGAAAGCAGAGTGTGGAGTCCCGCCGGAGCTGCTTTGACGTTGCATTAGGAGGGATGGATCTCTCGGCCTTACGAGAGAGCTGTTGGACGGCTTTCCCAGTGAATTTGCTTGCATGGCCAAGGCCTTCAGAGGTGGAGCAAAATGGCAAAGGCAGGGAGTGGATATGAGGATCTTTCTATGGAGAACAGGAGGGTGTTTGTATAGGCCAGGGCAGGGGTGTTGAACCTCCTTTGGCCCAAAAGCTGCATTGCATTTCAGTGAAGCTGTTGGGGAAGAAGCAGCATTTGGAGGCCGGGGCCCTGATGCTTTCATGGGTGGCCCTGAAGCTCTGGGGGGCCATGTATCCCAGCACCCTGCTGTCCACTGGCACTCGCCGAAATAAAGATCCAAGGGACCTGAAGGTCTCTGTTGCACCCGATTCCTCTGGCTTTTTGCCCACATGTGCTTCACCTTTGCCCACTTGCCCCCTTTGAACCTTTTTGTCGAAGGTTTTTTTTTTTTTTTTTCAGAAATCAAATGCCCTTTTTATAAATAGGGACATCCTCAGCTGAGAGGGTCCTCTGAAGACACACACACATGCATACAGGAAGGCTTTAAATTTAAATTGTAAATTTACATGTGCGCATTCCTGGTTTTGTTGTCCTGCCAGGCTGCCTGAACCTGGGATCTTTTCTTTTCAGTAGGTAGCACCATTGCTCCTTGAGGGCCACAATTCATGCATGAACAGAGCTGAGGGCAAAAGGGGTAGAGCCAAAGACAAAGAGGGTGTGACCAAAATACCCAAAATACTAGCATAGTTTAATCTCCTGCTGCCAGCAGCTAAGCCTTGCAAGAGGCGTTTCAGTTTATTTGACTTGGGGAGGGGCCTGAAAAAGACAAGAAACCACCAAAGAATTGCAGGTTGAGATGAAGGGATGGGGCCTGAGGAAAGGGATGTGCCCATCTGGGAGGCCTCGGAGGGACAGATTTGCCCCCTCCCCCCCCCAGTCTGAAGTTCGGTACACCTGGCATAAGCAGAGAAGACATGGCTGAAAACTGCTGAAATATTAGCTAGAACTTGGGAGTCATTTATTTCCCCTCCCCTGTGGCTCCTGATGAAGGGATTGCTTTGGCACCGTGCAGCAATTAGGAGTCACCGAGTTCATTAGCTGGCAGCTGAACGGAGGACTGGAGCAGTGGGGAAGCGCACTCACCTATCACGGGCTAGTTGAGGAGATCCTTCCGGGAGCAATGGATCTGCTGGAGTCGTGACGGCAGCCGCCGCTTAGGAGGTGCCCTTAATGCTCAGTTGGACGCTTTGTGGGAGGAAGGAGCTGCAGGCAGGTGTTTTGGCGGCTTGCCGCTCCTTCCCTGCTGCATCCCTCAAGCTTAGGTGTGCAGCGAAGAACGTACCTGTTCTGATGGGACCTTTGCTTGGAAAGGTGATGTGGTGGGCTTGGGAGTGGGAGGGGGAAAGGGCATCCTGCTCAAAAGGAACCGAGAGTGGGAGGGGAAAAGGGCATCCTGCTCAAAAGGAACCGAGACGCTGTGCTGATGCTTCTGGCAGTTCAGATCTCTGAGTAAACCAAATGCCTTTTACTCCTGAGAAAGAGGGATTTGAGCAGGGAGGGAATATCTGTCCTAGGCAGCAGGCTCCAAAGCAGGCATGTCTCTTTGCTTCCCCAACCTCAGGTTGAATCTGAGCATCTTGCAAGCATTTTCTCCCTCTGAAGAGCGCCAGCCTGCCTCTGCCAGAATGTGAGCCTTTGAATAAGGAGCAAAGTTTTACTTGTTTGCCAATCTCCCGCCTCAAATCTCACCTCCTGAGTGGAGAGAAAACAGGTTTCAAAGCCCCCGAGCAGATGGCTGAGCCTGGTGACTAATGAGCTCTTATCTCTGCCAGTTCGGGCCTCTCTCTAGGATGCATGCTTGAAGTGGGAACCTGGGGAAGTTTTTGATCCTTGCTTGTATTTAGCTGCTTGAGAAACAGAGCTGCTGATAAACAGCATGGTAGGAGCTGGCCAGTTGGCCGGTCCTCTGAAGAGCGGGGCATGTGTAAAAATCCAAGCTCTCATTAGCCCAAATGTCAGGGCACAGGCTGGCGATGCCACTGTTATTCTGAAGAGTCCAGAAGGACTGCTTCTGTAGCAGAATCGCCTAAACGGTCCCTCCCCAGCCTTGCATACCCTCAACTCCACTGCGTTGCACTTTCCAGGATCTAGGAGGCTCAAAGTTCATCGCTACTGTTCCAGTTTCTGTGTTACTTCATTTTGTTACTTACATTTCTATACCACCCAGTAGCTAGCGCTCTATGGGTGATTTACAAAGATTAAAACCTTTAAAAAATGTAAAAACCATTTGCATGCAAAGATATAAATATACAACAGAGGGGGGATCTGAAAGCAATTTTAAATGATTAATAATAAGAAAAATGCAAGACCTAATTAAAACGACATTCCATGCTGCCAGATACCCGAGAGAAGGACAGGGACTTAGCCTGGTGCTGAAATGATAACAGTGCCGGGATCACATGGGTGCTTTGTTGGGGAGGCTGTTCCATAATTGGGGTTCAGGCACTACCAAGGAAGTCCCCTCCCTCATTGCTGCCTTCTAGGGCTCCCTCCAAGGAGACACGTGGAAGAGGGCCGTCGTTGGTGACTGCAGGGTTTGGACAGGTTTGCGCTGGCTCTCGGTGTAGTGCTCTGCAGGCCAAAACAGGCACCGTGAGCTGGGCAGAAACATGCAGGCAGCCAGTGCGAGTGGGCCTGAATCAGCATGACAGGTTCAGCTCTCCTGGCTCCAGTTACCAATGTGGCAGGCTTTCCTTGCCCTGCAACAGCGAACGCTGCCAGCTGAACTTCGGGGTAATGCCCTAAACCCGGGGATCTCTTCATGCTCGTGAGGGCCGTAAAGCCTAGCCACTCATAACATTGCCGGGGGCCAGGGGGCAATATAATCATCTGGGCTTCTGAAGAGCGTCGGGTCTCCAGCAGCTGGCCTATAGCAGTGCGCAAAAACGACGCAGGTATAACCTGCTCCATGCCTGAGCATCTGTGAGTGCTCCTTTCGAGGTGGCCAGGTGGAACTCAGCTGTCCCCTGTGCATCTGACTGCAACCTTCAAGAGTGATCTTGGTTCTCCCAACCCGTTAGCCAGTGCCCTTGTAACAGAGGATCTGTGAATAATTGCATTCCTTTTCTGGTCACGCTGGTGATGCACATCCAGCATGACACTGCTTCTGCAGCTGAAGTCATGTGAACGGGCTTGCCTGAGGGCTTATTCCCGATTAACATCCTTGCTTTGTGAGGGTTTGCATTGGTGCAGAGCAAGGAGGAGCATCTCATGCAGAGCAGTCGCTGAAGAGGTCGTGTTTGCTTTTAGAGACTTGACACATTCAAGCAACGTGCCCTCCTTTGTACACAAGCATGTCATGTGCGGGGCTGTGGAAGTTCTTCAGAAGCAGCCCTTTGATGCCATTCATCGTGATTACCACCCCGCACCATCGCTTTAAGCACGGACTTCTTAGGGACATGAAACACCCTCAGCTGGAACATGATCTGTGCAGCCTGCAGAAAGAAAGAATGGTGTGTAACGTCTGAGAGATGCATGTTAAATGCGGGGAGCAAAAATTGGAAGTGTGGAACCCCCATAAAATGAGCAACCAATTCACAGAATAGGATATAAGCTTGAATTTGCTTGGAAGAGGGAGGATAAAAGCACCAAATGGATGACAAATTGACTATAAATTGCAGTGATAGTGAAAAAGACACGTGAAAACCCAAGAGGGTGATCCATGCAAGGCAATTAACTGATATGTTAAAGAGATGCAGTTTCACGGTAAACTGGACCATTTGGGCTTTGAGGACTCCATAATGGCTTTTTGATTTCTTGGTCTCTTCAGCTAAAGCAGCTGGTGCCAGCCACTGCAAGGGGGAGCATGTGTACCGAAATGGTAGAGCAGTTCTCACTTTGACTTAAGGCTTCTGCACAGTCATGCTGCTGCCCCCTAAATATGAGAAAGGACAGGTACTGTATACCAGCTAATGAGGCAACTCGTGTGTAAGACAAGGTCAATATTTTGGACTGTTGTCCTGGTGTATGTCATATGTTGGGCATATAAAACAACCCCCAGTTTTTACTTTGCTATTTCCAGTTCCAAGAATCCTCTTATACACTGGTATATATGGGTATATCTCTAGAAAAACCATGAATATCTCTAGAGTCCACTGTGAGACAAAACACGTGAGGCTGGCCCATGCCGAGACAAAGAGAGTAGTGTCCCCAAGCAGAGGCCCTAGAGATACCCATGGCTTTCTGTAGAGATATTTGTGGCTTCTGCACTTGGGCTGGCATCCTGCGGTTTCAGGCATTCATGGGGGGCTTGAATCTCCTGTGGATACAGAGGTCCTACTGACTGATAAACATTTTTCACTTGGCATATAAGACAACCCCAAGATTTTTGCCTTGCTATTTTCAGTTCAGGGGTCATCTTGTATGTGGTTCTAGATGCTAAGTTTGAGCCAATGATGCAGGTGTCTGGATGCATCAATGTGAGTGTTCTCACAGGAGGAGATCACCACTCAGACCCTGTCTAATTTCAATGGCCAGACTTTATCTACATGCCCAAACAGGCCTGCCCTTAGTCTGCCCTGCCTGCCTCCCTCCCTCCCAGATGGGCAATTTGTGACCCTCCCAATGCTTTGGCTTTCCTTGAACTGATGTGGGGGGGTGAGCTCAACCTCCTCCCTTGGGAGCCCGTTCCATATCCTAAGGGTCCTAACTCTCAGGAAGTACTTCCTGACATCCAACCTGAAGCCTGGTTCCTTGAGCTTTGCCCCTTTGGAATGTGTCCTCCTCCACATGGCATCCCATCACATACGTTGCTAAAAGATCCCCTCAGACTCTCCTCTTCTCCAGGCTGAAAAGACCCAGTTGCCTGGATAGGGTAGGTTTGGGTTAAAAGGGGGAGAATTAAGAATAGTAACATGAGTTAGCAGCAAGAACAAGGATAAAAGAATTAGGGGAAAGTGATAGCTACCAACAGAGGAGAGTCCTGAGGCTTCCGTGTTCCCTCATCATTTGGCATGTTGGGTAGCACTCATGTGAGCTGAAGACCAAACCACCTGGAGATGGGCACAGGTTGCCCACCCCTGCATTAGCATAATTACTTGATACATTCTGTTTAGCTTCTGCAAGGTTTAATAACTTCTACGGTTATTGTGGCGAATACCCAAGCTTTAAATTCAAAACTGACCCCAGAGGTACCAAAAAATCATGTTAGATTATTCACCTCCCAGGAGACAGAGCGGGTGCAGGTATGACAGCCATGGCCCAAGCAGACTCACGATAAGTTCCTTGCAGATGGAAAAGTATGGAGTAACATGGTGTTTTCAGAAAACGAGAACCTGAGGGGAAGTGAAGCATTCCCCATCCCCACCCAGCAACTAACATCCCTGCTCCCCCCATGAGACAGCTTCAATGCTGGCCTTCCCATCCGCCGGTCCTGTAGGTCACGAGGCTTTTAGAAAAGGAAGGTTTTGCTTTCAGGAGCAAAGAGATCAGAAACATATCCTTCTAGGAAATGTGGTCCATCCAGTTGTGATGATAGCAATGCTGATCGTTGGCCTAGTCATTCTCAAAGCTTTTAGAGCCATCTCAGCAAAGTACCATCCATGCAAGGTCATTCTAGAAAAGGTTGAATTTGTATTCTTTCTTAATAATGTCATTGTCATTTTCAATACTTTTGCATTTAATTTCCTTCTGATTGCATCACTGCATTGTTCCCCATCACAATCTGAAATGTGGCCAGAAACTCTCCGTACATCTGATGAAATGAGCTATAGTCTGCAAACACGTATGTTAGAATTAATTTATTCTTTAAAGAGCTGCAAGACAATTTAGTGTTTCTGCTGCAATAGACAGACCCAGCTGTCCTCTAAAAATAATTACTCTTTTGTTTTCCTGTTTGAACAATGCTTCCTCACTCCTCATGTTTTACCAATGAAAATAATGTTTTGGTTAATGGCTTAAGACCAAGTTATCTGAAGGAGCATTTCCTTTCCTATGTGCCTGCCTGCCCCTTAAGATCTGGGTTGAAGGTCCTTCTTTGGGAGTCCTCCTTGAACAAGATTAGGAGGGTGGCTACGCAGGGAAGGGCCTTCTCTGTGGTGGCACCCTGGTTATGGAATACACTCCCCAGAGAGGTTTGCCTAGTGCCAACACTTTATGCTTTTCAGCGCCAGGCCTAAATCTTTTTTATTTTCCCAGTATTTTAAGGTTTAGATTGCATTTTTTTAATTGAGGTTTTAACAGAATGGATGCTGTGCCTGACTTTGTTTTATTGTAAGACCGTCCCAAGACTATTTGGTAGTGGACAGTATACAAACGTTTTAAATAAATAAATAAACAAACTCCCAGCCAAAATCTAACCCCACGTGCCTGGATGCACAGAAACATGTGCTGCCTTGAAAATGAGTGAATACTGCCAGGGGAGGTTGGGAAGATGACACTTGGAGAATGTGGGTGCGATAGAACTTGTGTTCTCTCCGTTCTCTTTGCAGTCTTTCCAAGGGAGTCAAGGAAATGATCTGGCAGGAATGATCTGATGGGCTGGTGACCGCCAAGGGCTCCTGTGGCATATACTGGAAGGTTTTACTCAAGGTCTCTGTATGAAAGGGAATGGCTGCACCACTTTAGCTGAGCATGGATAACTTGCATTGCCAAACTTGGCATGTTAGAATCTCCCCAGAGCTTTGCTAAACCAGTCGGGCAGCCCCGTTGCCTGTTACATTCCTCCCACAAACCTCCTCCTGTGAACTCAAATGGGCAACAGGGTGGCAGGTGGGGAAACTGGAGGTTTTTGCCTGGCTTACAGCGAGTAGAGAGAGCGAGCGAGCGAGCAAGCATGTGGGTGGGCCTATTAAATCTGAGCTCAGACACAGCAAAGTCTGTACACAGACAACTGTCTCTGTCGAGTGTGTTAGTCTTTAAGGTGACCTGTTTGGGGGTTTTGCTTCCAAATACTAATGCAGCATCCCCTCTGCAATTGTATTCTTGGAGTAAAGGGAGCTACTTCCCTTGTTTAGCACCAGGACACCCGGCCTTGATCCAGCTTGATAGTTGGTGAACAGTGTAATCCCATAGACATTTCAGCAGAAGTAGGTCTCCTCAGTGGGGCCCACTTCCAGGTAAGCAGGGATGGGGTTGCAGCCAACGTGTAGAAAGATGACACAGGAGCAGAGGGAAGAAAACCCAGGTGTTACACCTGGAAGGTCTCAGCAAGCATAGGTGACCTAGAAATACATGTAAGTAAGTAAGTAAATAAAATACACTTCTGTAATTGCATCTGCTTCTCCGGGGCCTCAGGCGCGTGGATAGAGCAGTGTACTTAAGTGCAGATCCGCTTCAGCTCCCATCCTTTTCACTTCCAAGAAGGTAGTTGCCTTGTGGTGGAGAATCTGTCTGTGCCTGTAAAATAAAAGAGAAAAGTTTTGCCCCAGTGTTGGAGAAGAACTGCAAATGGCCTGAAGGAAAATAGTTTGTGGAAGACGTTCTGGAAATAGTGGGGAGCAAAGAAGACTCACTTTATTTTGCTTTTGCTTTTAAAGGCTAACATGGGTATGTAGACAAATACCCATCTTTCCAAACTCTCAAAGCAAAATTTTGAAAGGTTGGATGGGAGGCCCAAGAGAAGGTTATTTTGCTGTCATGGGTCATTTGAAATGCATTAGACTGACTAAGTAATCACTTTCTCCACTAGCACACTCTGTTGATTGGTGTGTGCTGATGGGATTGTGGCCAAAATGGGCTTACCAAGAAACAGAGGTATCCGTATGCCCTGTGGAAGCCACTTCCAAGTTTGTGGAAGTGGGAAAATATTTGGAGGTGGAGCCGAAGGGACAAAAGTAAGCCAAATGGTACAGTGGGGACTGAGTATTCTCAGAGAGTGCTTGAGTGTCTGTGGGGAGTGTGGGGAGGGAAAATGGCATGGAAAATCCAGGAAAAGGGCTGGAACTCTGAACTCTGGACCAAACCACTCCACAGTGCCACATTTTATGGCTGTTTCCATTTGTCAAGCTTAATACGTTATTAGACCTGAGCAAAGCAGCATTTCAAAATAGACCTGAAACTCTTCTGGACATTGAGACTGGAAGTGTGTTGTTTGTCACGAATGTTATGCATTTGGTACCTGCAACCATCACACCAAAACAAACAAGTCTATGTGAGAATTATGACATAGATTATGATTGTTGGGGCTGGGTTGTTTTTTACTTATCATTGTGTTGATTTTCAGAGCAGTCACAATAAAAAGAGGGAGAGAAACAGTGAAACCCTGTGAACCTAAAGAAGGAATAATAATGACAAGACAAATGCAAGGACAGCATTAAATGTAATAAAGGTCCAGGAGGCTGAAAAATAGGATTATGCTAGAGCAACCATGAAATTATATGAGGATAGAAATTCGGCCAGACTATCCCATAAGGTTTAGCAATTGCTGTCAGGTTGAAGGTTGAACCCAGCAGTCTCCACATGTGTTGGGTTATAATTCCCAGCAAAAGAAAAGACAAGCAAACAAAAACTCCAAACCCAGTACTGGGAGTTGTAGTTTAGCACATGTAGAGAGCATCAGGTTACACTGGCACAAGCTGTGGGTGGATGCGATAAACCTTCTTCAGTACTTCTGCTAATATCTTTGTTTATCTCTGTGCATGCACACTTTCAGCCAAATTTTACTTTTACTTCTAGTCACCTCCTTAACAAAGTACAAGGAGAGTGAAAAAGCAGATTGCCAGCAGAGTGCAGGAATGGCTAAATAAGCACTATCTCCAGCTGGGGGAGTTTCATGGAGTGCTAACCCTGGGCTTCCCCAGACCTGTTCTGTCACCCTCACTGCTGCAGGCCAGTTTTGATCCTTTAGCCCTCTGCAGCAATTCTGGATTCCTTTTTGTTTGCAAAAGCACAAAACAAAACTGTGAGGGCTACGTATTATGCATTTTTGTGCTATACCATGCAAGTCCTTTCTTCCTACCTAAAGATTATTTTAAAATTCAATGTAATTGCTATAACATGAAGAAGAAATAATAAAGATTGTGTGTTTATACTGAAGCTCACAGTGCTTCTGGGTGCATGGTTGCATTGTGAAACCCAGATAGCTGTTGCAACCAGGACACTATTTTTCCTTTTCCAAAATATTGCGGCCCAAAACAGACAGGCCTTTTTCCTAGTGTCAGCACCTGTGTAGAGAGCAGCATGCATCAAGCTGCTGAAATGGGCTTATTCCTTTAGAAGAGAAGGAGACCAGCTATTTAAAATGTGTGGCGACATAGCTTGGTGATGAACCCTCCATTAATTCTTCTCCCTCTTTCTGTGTGTGTGTGTGTGTGTGTGCACGCACACGCACATCTGTCTGATTCAAATTGGAGAAGGTGCGGCAGAAGAAGACCCAGCTGCTTGAAAATGGGGACGGATCCAAGGATTTGGACAGTTCAGCCGGCCGACGGGGCAGCTTGAGCCGGAAGCATGGGCGATGGAAGAGTTGGCCAGACAGTCCCGGCGTCCTGGTGGCTAAGGTGGTGCGAGCTGTCACAGTGAAGCACAAACCTGGGCGCAGGATGCCTGTCTATTTGGACTCCTCGAGTCAGAGGAACCTGACGGAGCTCCGTGGGGATGCCCAGCTGGCACTGTTCCAGCACGGGGACACCGGCAGTGTGGAAGGGGCGCCCCAGCCCACGGAGAACAACTTCATGCCCAAGTGTGAGATCACAGGCAAGGACGCGCTGTCTGCCTTAGCCAGGGCCAACAGCAAGCAGTGCCAGCAGGAGCTTGCCAATGTGGTGTGCTTGCACCAAGCCGGGAACCTCATGCCGCGCGCCGTGCCTCGGCAGTGCCAGCTCTCAGGTGAGTCCCTGGGCAATGCCATAGCATTTGCCACATGCGAACATGGATGCGAGGTGTCCCCTCCCTTTGGGGTGGGAAGAGTTATCCTCCACATGCACAGAGAGCGGGAGGGCAATGGACGGCTGCTTCCAGGGCTGACTCCAGGTTCAGGGGTGCCCTCAGTAGGACACCTTCAGTGGCCTTCTCCCTCTGTCACCCAACCATTCTCACCAACTCTCTTGCTCTTCCCCATGACCGTGGCTTGCTTGCTTGCTTGACAGGGCAAGCACTTCTCAGGGCCTCCCATGAGTGGCCTGCTGCCAGTTTGTTGGTGGCCTGTGACCCAGCCATGATCGCCTTTCTCCCCTGCATGAAGCCACCTTGCCCCGAGTCATTCCCTGGCCTGGGTCTTCTGACTGGCTGTGGCGCTGCACAGGGATTCGTTGGTAGGTCTTTCCCAACGCTTCTGCCTTTCCCAGGGATACTGCTTTCCCCGTAGGCCTGAAGTCTCAGATAATATACATGGCCAGCTCCCAAAACACTGTTATTAGAAAAGCTGCTCCTTGATTTTCAATACCATGGTGAAAGCAGAGGGTTGTACTTGTATACAGAAGTAAGAATTCTGCACCACACTCAGTCTAATTTTGTGCCAAGAAAAGTTGAAATTTACTTAGTCTACCAGTGGGAATCATACTCTGTCCTCTCGTGGGTTCTGTATTTCATGAGGCCACACACCTTTGAAATCTGTCTTTACCTCTTTGATATCTGGCAACATTTCCTATGTGTGGGGACTGGATTTTACCAAAACCATGGCTTGATTATACACGAGAGTGGTGGTTACCTGAAGGAGTGTCTCCTTCCATATGTGCCTGCCCGCTCCTTAAGATCTGGGGCAGATGCCCTTCTCCAGGTGCCCTCTCTGAAGGAGATTAGGAGGGTGATACCCGAAGAAGGGCCTTCTCTGTGGTGGCACCCCAATTGTGGAATTCGCTCCCCATAGAGGTCTGCCTGGCACCGTCACTTTTTTCTTTTCAGCACCAGGCCAAAACCCTTGTATTTTCCCAATGTTTTAAGACCTGACTGTTTTAACTGGGGTTTTATTATCTGCTAAGTGTTAGGATGCTGTGTTTTATTTTTATTTTACATTTGTATTGTTAAACCATCCTAAGACTTTGGTAATGGGACGGTCTACAAATGTTTCAAATAAATAAATAAATAGTAATCAACCTCTAGCAAAGAGCGTTTGCTTCCATAGATTATGTAGGAAACCCATCATGCCAGCAAAACCTGTTGGTGTCTCACTAGAGGTTGCGCATGCTAATGCAACATGTATTATTGTTGTTAAATAAGATGCTGCCCACTGCATTTCCTTCCTTGCCTCCCTTAATACTGGATCGTGCATCTATTTCCAGCACGTCAGAAACATCCCATAGCTGCTGACGGGTCGGGTGCTCCTTTTGGCCCCACAGTGCGTGCCTGGGATCAGGGAAGAAGCTTTGCTCTTGGCTGAAAGGCCGCTTGGCCTGCGCAGCTCGAAGGCTCCTCCCCTTTCTCCTTCCCACTCCATGCTGATCCCAAGGCGATCCCTTTTGATCTCTGCAGGGAAAGTCAGCCTTGTGATCCAGTGGGATGACAGCAGAATTCTCCAGGCCTCTGTGAGCAAGCCGGTGCGGATTGCCTTTATGCTGGTTGTGCACGGACGAGCCATCCGCCAGCTGAAGCGACTCATCAAGGCCGTGTATCACCAGCAGCACTTCTTCTACATCCACGTGGACAAGGTAGTGGGGCGGGGCTCTCCGGTCACGTGCAGATCTGCCCGGGAGCGGGGCAGCAACGCTGCGGAGTGGGACAGGGCTGGACCCCACGCACCGCTGTGCCAGGCCCCTCCAGGGCAGGCGTTGGCCGCTGCTGACCGGCAGAGGCAGCGCCTTCCTCAGGCCCTCTGCACGCATATTTCAGGCAACTTGGCGGATAAAGGCAGCACTGTCCCTTCTGTTTTTGATAATAGATTATAGTGAAACAGTGGTATAATTAGTGCTCCATGGGATCTCTGCCCGCTGTTTCTCGCTTCCCGCTGGGCTTTAGTGACAGGAAGAAGGACTTGGGAAGACCTGCTATTCTGCACTCGTCTTCAAAGCCTGTTGCAGGATCCTGCCCCCACCTGGTGCGTACCAGGGACTCGAGTGGAGGGAGGAAGGCATGGGGAGGCACTCTGCTCCCTCTCATAGTACTAATGCTTCATCCTGTGAAGCTGATTGGCAGGAGATAAGAGGAAGCCCTTCTTCCACAGTGCGCAAACGATGGGATTCACTTCCGTGAGATACAGTGAAGAACACCAGTTGCGGGAGCTTTAAAGGGGGATTAGACCAATTCATGGAGAAGCCTGTCAGGGGCTGCCAGTCCTCAAGCGATCTGCTGCCTCCAGGATCAGAGGCAGTATACCTCTATGCACCAGTTGCTGTGAAGCATGGGAATGAGGTTGCTCCTCCACTCTTGCCTTCCCTGTGGGCGGCTGGTTGGCCACTGTGTGAGCAGATTGCTGGATGTCATGGTCCCTGGGCCTGATCCAGCCAGGATCAGAAGTTCTTCTGCAGTGGGGAGGGGGAACGTGCAGGGAATCTTTCATTCACGACTTGACCCCAAACAGAAATCCCTAACCCTGCTCTGTTTTATTTAATTTTCCATCATGGGCTCTCCCATGTTTCCACCAGCTGTGTTCAGCCTGATTTTACTCAACTTGAAGTGTGGTACTCCTTGGGGATCCGGGTTTTTTGAATAAATATACAGATGGTATGAAGTTGGTAGAAAGTAAACTATTCTCCCTCCCTTCTCAGTTTCTCTGTGTATGATGGAGGAACTGGAGGGAGGGGAGGAATCAGTGGCCATGGTGGCTAATCACGAATAACACCGGACTACTAAGCCATGCCAAGTTTGGGATGGACATAAAAGCGAACATAGGCATTCATCCAAACAGCAGGCAAGGAGGTGACTCTGTTTCTGAACTGCACCACTTGGGTGGCTCACCAGTGGCGGTGATGGTGTGTGAGAAGATGGCCTCATGCAGAAATTTAGCAAGCTTAGTCATCTAGGTGCCCCTGTGCAGGGACCCTGGGAGCTGTCCTCTAAACTCCCATCCCTGCACTCTGAAGTAGTGAGGTCCAGCCACGGGTTCTGTTTAAAATATTTGTATCCCCCTTCCAGCAAACATGTTCAAGTCAGTTAACAACACAAGCTAAAAAGAAAACAAAACATCATTTCAAATGTGAATGAGCATGTTTGTCCTTAAAACAACAGGACACAGAGGCTAATATGGGTCCAGTTTCCTGAATCCCCTTGGAGAGGACATGCTGTATGTGGACATTTGGGGGAACCAGGCAAATACGGGTCTGAATGCTTTATTCATGGGGTGCGCTGTGCTTTATTTTGAAAGCATGAGGAGCTACATAAGGTGGATGGTCTAAGAAAGTGACATTTGCATGGGTTACTGCTCCCACTCAAGTAAATTGGGTCACTTGGGTGTCTCTGTGTCAATTTCCAGAACTCTGAAATGTAGGGCAGAGCCTGGAGGAAGCCGTGGGGCAGAGGAGGCAGGCACCTTCATCCCTGTGGAGGCAGCAACTGTGACGCGGCAAGGGACTGGGGAAGGGGCAGAGGCCTTGTAATTGCAGTCCCCTGTGTGCGCACGTGTGTTTTAGCATTTGGGGATTTTGTAGCAAACAACGCTTATATGTTAGTTTTTTGTTTATTTTTGAACTGAAAGACTATAAATGCTGCAAATGAAAATTGACCTGTTGAGACTTCTGCCAAAGTCAGCCCTGCAGGCCAGCACTTTGATTTAACATGCACGTTCCTAGACCTCTTAAAGGAAGGAAGGAACGAACCAGGTAAACAGTCTTTCTCGTAAGGGGTGTGAGCTCAGCCCTCTGCTTGCCCTTCGTCCCTGCCTCCTGCAGCGCTCCACGTACCTGCACCGCGAGGTGGTTGAGCTGGCCCAGCACTATCCCAACATCCGGGTGACGCCCTGGCGCATGGTCACCATCTGGGGTGGGGCCAGCTTGCTGAAGATGTACCTGCGCAGCATGAAGGACCTGCTGGAGGTGGAAGACTGGAACTGGGACTACTTCATCAACCTGAGTGCCACAGACTACCCCACCAGGTCAGTTGTGCAAAGGGGGACAGGCAGCGCGAAGGCCCGGCACCGGGGCTCGCTCCGGATGCCTGGCGTGGGACTGCACAACAGGTTTCCTTTGCCACCTCGGTGCAAGAGGCCGGCACTTGCTGTGTGTGTGCAGAGCAACTGCAGGAATTTGCGTGTCCTGAGTTCTGCAGGATCCTGGGCCAGGTACTTAAGCAAGTCTGCAAGCAGCAGGCATGACAATCTCTTTTGGCAGGCATTTCATACATTTGCTGCACTAATTGACACATTTGGGTGCCTTGGATATGAGGCTGCATCCCTGGGGTGCTTTTTAACCCACCTACTCCCAGAAAACCAGCCATAACTAAGTTCCACAACCAGTAGGATTTCAAAATGCACCATTTTGAACTCCAATGCATGTTTATGATCAGGAAGGGATCCCTTAAGCAGGCCACAATTTTATTTTTACAAGCCATTTGGGATCTCTCCCTGCATCCTCTGTCATTTGACATGTATACCTGTAAGACTGTGGTTATCAAAGTCAACCACAATGAGAGTTTTTCCTTGTGTTCACCTGAGCACATTAGAATTTCTGCTCTTCGGAATTTAAAATCTGCTTTTCTCCATTCCCCGAGCCCAGCATAGTGACTAGGAAATGCTGGGAAGTTTAGGACTCTTTTCTGTCAAAATATGCACAGGTTTGAACTTTAAGTCACTGTACCATGGAAGTTTGGGAGTTTGCTCAGTTAGCTCCTGGCTCTTTGAGTGGTCACTTGGGTTCTCCCTGCACATGCAGGCTCATTTTACGATAGGAAGACATCCTCGTATCCATGGAGTAGTTTCCTGCCTCTGTTGCATTTTCTGCACTCCCAAGATAATTCATACTTCATGTTGTAGTATTGGATAGCTCATTTCCTCTTTTGTTATCCTCTTTTTACAGGTTAGCAACATCCTGTCTGCACCCTTCAAAGCAGGGTGCCTTCTGGATGTTTTGGACTGTGCCTTGCATCAGTCCCAGCAAGCATGGCTACTGGCAAGGGATTATGGGAGCTGAAGTCCAACATACCCACGGGACACCAGGTTGTCCTACCCTCTTTAAGGCCTATATACTTAAAAGTATATGCATACAGAGCTCTGTGTATGATGGGGACCTTGGAAAAGGAGCGTGTCCAGTACTCGAGACAGAATCCAATGCATCTGTAACTATAGTCTTTTTTCAGACCTTCAACAAATGCACGTTTGTTGTGTTGATGCCTTCTGCCAGGATTCTCCCTGATTCGTTGTACCCTAATCAATAATCTGAAAACCCTTCCTATCTGCTGCCTGTTTTTATTTCTCGCTTACATTTACTCTTCTTTTTGAATTGCGGCCCACTGCAGGACCAATGAGGAGCTGGTGATGTTTCTGTCAAAGTACCGGGATAAGAACTTCCTGAAGTCTCATGGCCGAGATAATGCCAGGTAATTCTCACACTGGGGCTTAGCATTGGGTGCAGGTTGAAAGCAAATCACGGGCAAGAATGGCTGAGCCTACCAAGTGATGCTCAGCAAGCATGGAGTAAAGGGAGAGCCGCCTTAGTTGTGGCATCCCAGTTGGAGAACATGTGGTGGCGCCTCAGCATTTTTCCTGTTCTACACCAGGTGAAGGCCTCCTTATTTGCCCACGTGTTCTAATTTTAACCATCATACTGTCCAGTGATTTATAGTTTTGGGGTTATAATTTTTGTAGAAACTATCACTGTTTTTATTCCATGTGGATGATTTGTTTATTTGGAGTTTTACCTTTTTATATAAGAATTTTACTTTTAGGACTGGCTACCTGGAGAACTGTTGTCATTGGGCAATATGCAGATAGAATAAATACATGTATGGATGTAAAGGAAGACAATAAAATGTCCTTTAGGTGTGAACTTAATTCATCAGTGTTGCACAGTAGATTTCTGGCACATTGAAACATATTCTTGCTTCATTGACTTAATGGAGCCAAGTAGTTCACACATACAGGATTTTAGTAAATGGGGACATTCACCTATATAGCCATAGTATAGAACCAAGAGCCTTCTCCCCACCTCACAACACCCAGCTGTCTTTGTTCCTTTCTGAAATTTTGTTGAATTTTGACCTTTTCTCAAAAGCAAGGTTCTAGACCAATTATTACAGGGCAGGGGAGATTACTTTAAAAATATGTAAGAAGCTTTTGTCTGAAGGCTCAAAAATTAAAAGATTCTCTATTGAGTTTTCTGTTGAGTTGAAAAATCTATATGCATCTTACACAGTTTTTTATCTATTGTCCTCCCACTGCTACTCACTCATTGGCCACAATAGCAGAATAAAATGTTTTGCTGTCAGTGAGTAATCTTAACATGCTTTGGAGCTTCCTACACGATCTATCTTTGTGCTTCTTCTTTTGACAAACTTTGTTGCTGGTTTCCTTTGTGGCTGTTTGAATGCTACAGGGAGGCTCCTGTATCTTGGAGGAAAAGGGTTGACATTGGAAACTGTTGAAGACTCTGGCATAGGTGGATAGAAAAAAAGGACTCCAGGCATCTGGGACTTCAACTCCCAGCATCCCTGTCCATTGGCCATGCTGGCAGGGGATTCTGGGAGTTGAGGTCCCAAACCTCTGGAGAGCTACCTTCTGCCCACCCCGGCATAGCAGGTGTTCAGAGCTGAGCTGGTATTTCAGCAGAAAGTTCTGCTGGCAATAAATTAGGCAGAGGCTCCATTGGCGACAAATTGTAGAGATGGCGCAGTGATTTCTGGCTGACGGATCCAGGGCTTCAGCATGCAGCCTTCTAGAATCCCTCTGGCTGTGATCTTAATGCAGAAAACGCCATGTTGCACTCTAGTGAATCTGGAGCATCCATTCCTGCACAGGTTCATCAAGAAGCAGGGCCTAGACAGACTCTTCCACGAATGTGACTCTCACATGTGGCGACTGGGCGAGCGGCAGATCCCGGAAGGCATCGTGGTGGACGGCGGCTCAGATTGGTTTGCCCTCACTCGCAGGTTTGTGGAGTATGTGGTCTACACCAGTGACCAACTGGTCTCCCAGCTGCGGCAGTTCTACACATACACTCTTCTCCCGGCCGAGGTGGGTTGTGCGGCATCTTGAGGGACGGTTGGCGGGAGGGTGGCTTTAGAGGTAGACTGGAAGAGGGGGTGGTGATCTCTGGGTTTGGACAAAAGGTCCCAAAGTAGCTCGCCTTGGTGGGCCAGATACTTTCTCTGTGCCACCGCAGGCCCGTCAAAAGCTATTGGTGTTCTCCAAAGCATACACCAATTTTATTTTTGCTTCAGCTTCAGTTTTCTCTAGAAGGGAATGTCGCATGGGATAGAAAGATATTTGTGAATCACTGCACAGCTGGTGGTTTGTGATTGGAAGTGCACCAAGCAAATATTTTATCTTATGATGTAGTACAGGAGAATCCACAAGGTGAATAGTTCAGAAATCTTGAAAGCCCATGTTAATTTTGAACATAATATATAACATCAATGTGTACGTATATATAAACTGTGGGGCAGGGAGAGAATTCTAATGCACATCATCTCTCTGACTCTGAGTCAGGAACATTATTTTCCCTATTTATCTCCACTACAACCCTGCAAGTCTAGGGCAGTGGTGCCATGGAGAGAGTACCAAACTGGCACGGGAGGAGGGTCCAGGTTCAAAGCATCACTCAGCCAGGATGATTTCTGGGAGCTCTGCAGCCAAGCACACTCTCAGCCTAACCGACCACATAAGGATGTGGTGCAACGGGGTTGTTGTGAGGATAAACCTGGGGGTGAGAAGCGTGTGTGCTGTTCTGAGCTCCTTCAAGGAAAGGCAGGATGTAAATATCAGTTAGTACAAACAAGAAAACTACAATCCTGTGCATGTTTAAGTAGAAGAAGGTCTGAAAACACCCAGCATTTCCTAGCCAGCCATGCCAGCTGAGGAATGCTGAAAGCTGGAGGGCTTTTCTGTCAAAACATGTAGGATTATGCATTAATTAATGCCAGTTATAAACTACATAGAATAAAAAGACAGTAGCTTGCAAACTTTCCCTTTCTGGGGACCCTTTTCTGGATGAATTTGTCTTTGGAAGAAGCCTTGTGTGAAGCAGAGCATTCTGGGTTGTGCTCCATCGATGTTAATTCCAATGGGGACAGCACCGTTCAGGCTTGTTGGGTCTGTCTAAGCCCCATGTGAATGAGAGTTTGCTGCATGACCACAAAAGCCCTGCAGCAGAGCATTCTGGGAACGCCAAGAATGGTGCTCTCCTCACATTCCCCATTTTGTGAATGCAGCAATCACAGATTGAGATGCAAAAGCTGCCAGTGACACAGTGCCACACTCTTCCCAGAATTCCTGCACAGTCCTGAGGCTGCTAGGTGCAGAAGTCAGGCACGGTAACACGCCAGATCCACCGCAGTAGGAACTGCCACTCGTGCCCTGACATTTTGGCCACGCTCCCTGCCATCTCGCAAGTCCCTGTGAAGAAATTCAGAAGAAGATGAGGCAAAGCCCGTAGGCAGGTGGTCTTAAGGAAATGGACATGGCTTGCTTATTTTGAAGAAAATGCTCTGGATGGCTAAGCAGTGTGTTGTTTCTGCCTGCAGAGTGTAGCCTTATTTTTCCAGATTATGGCAGCATTTACAGCATGCATTAAATAATTCTCCTTCAGTACTGACCACTACTATAGTAAGGCCTGAAATGGGTGAGGAGCGGAACGGTCATCTGTTGCGTACAGTCGCAGTTCTGCTCACTGCTGTGTTTGCTGTGCTCTCTCTCTCTCTTGCTCCCTCGCTGCATATAGTCTTTTTTCCACACTGTGCTGGAGAACAGCCATGCCTGTGAGACCCTGGTAGACAACAACCTCCGGGTGACAAACTGGAACCGCAAGCTGGGCTGCAAGTGCCAGTACAAGCACATCGTGGACTGGTGCGGCTGCTCGCCGAATGACTTCAAGCCCCAGGACTTCCTGCGACTGCAGGTGCTCCGGCTTGTTCCCTCCACCCCACCCCACCCCACCCCACATCTTTCTTCCTGCACTCCAGATCTCATCCGGCAGCCTTTTCCTCCCCGGGCTTCATCCTCACAGCCCATTTCCCCTGCTCCTCTCACTTCATGGCAGCTCTGGCCGAGAGGCACAGTCTTTCAGCACTGGGGCTTCATGCCGCGGTTGTGTTGTTCCCATGGAGAACCCCATCCCCATCCAGAGCAGGAGCGGCTGATTGGGCCTACAAGTCCCATCACCCCTAGCAGGTTTTCCAGCCCTGCCTGCTGTACAGGGCCCTTTCCATGAGCCACCCCTGGTCCTGCAGACCACAATGAGGGAGCGCTGGAGGACTTCCCATGAGCAGGTAAGGCCGTGTTTAATGCAGGGGGACAGAATCAGGCTGCCTTCAGACATTGCCTTCCCCCACCTTCCATCAACCCTAGCCAACATGGCCAGGAGTCAGGGATGATGGGTGCTGTGCTCTCATGCCTGAAAGACCCCAAGGTTGCCCACCCCACTTCTCTTGGCAGCAGAAAGACAGATCTGATGGGACTTGGGAGGGGGGGTTGGTTTGGGGAGAGAGGGCTAAACAGCAGAGAGCTGCTCCAAAGCAGTGGTGCTGAATGACGGGGGGCATCAAGATGGGCGTGCGTGGGGAGGCGGTGCCAGGATCTGATCAGTCACACGCTTGAAGGGAATAGAGTGTGCAAGAAACAGGCCAGGAGAGCATGGGAGTGTGGAGGCCTCTAGCAATGAGGCCTAGAACCAGGCCGTGCAGGCTGAGAGGGGACCAGGGAGGAACTTAAGGGAAATGGTGGCAAACAAATGAGCGCAGTCGATGCAAGAGCAGGCTATACCCACTCGGTGTCTTGACCTGCCTCAGTCACCCGAGGTAAATGAAGCTCTCCGGCTGACCTTTAATGTGAGGGCTCCCAGTCACTTTCTCCAAAGCAGACCCCGTCGGTCAGTGTCCCGTGAATGGATCTGTTCAGAGCTCAGCAAAAATTTTGATGAGGGCGCTAAGGATTTTGAGAGAATCAGGATGGTACAAAACAATGAACTGAATAAGCGATGCAAAAGGCCTGCTCATCATGTTAGCAAGCACTTCTTCCACTTGGCTAAAAACGCTGCTTCTGGAGCTGTTTTAGGGAGACTGGCTTCTTTTAGGGCTTCTGGTTTTGTGCAAGGACAACCCGCAGCAGATCCTGTCTGGCAGGAACTGATTCCTAGCCCTGTGCAAAGGGTTCCTTGCCCCTTCAGCACTTTGTCTAGGGATCACAAACTGGTGCCAAAATTGAGCCTGTGGGGGGGGGGGGGGGTGTCCCATCACCATCACACCCATTTTATGTATTTCATTCCTTACCTGTATGTCTGTCCAAAAAATGGTGCTCAAGGAGGCTAACCCCAACATCCAGAAGGGGAAAATCTTAATAGAATATAAAAATAACTCAATTAAAAACGCAAGGAAAGAATTGTTGCTGGTCCTGTTATTTTCAATTCTATACCACCCAGCCAGAGCTCTCAAGGTGGTTCACATCAATTCATGAAATCACAAGCCGTAATATAAGACGAACAACGTAACAGTGTCAACATACAAAATGTAAAAGAGAGTTTAAGATGCCCTGAGCGGCTCAGAAACAATTTTATTGTGGCATAAAGCCTTCCCCCACCACGATGTCATGAGAAGCTACTAAGTGGAGTAAATAGCATCCAGCCAATGCAGTTTCAGGCCTTGAAGGCCATGTTCCCACTTTGGTGCCCCAAGTCCCCTCTCTGTGGTCTGTTTCTGGTAACTTTCCAGTCTGGGCTCTGCAGCCCGAGCCCGAAACATGTTGTAAAAAACATCCTACCAAATGTCCGTGTCCTTTCAGCAACTGTCCAGGCCCACCTTCTTTGCCCGCAAGTTTGAATCGACGATCAATCAGGAGGTCTTGGAGATCTTGGATTCTCATCTCTATGGTAACTACCCAGCTAACACACCAGCTCTCAAGGCCTATTGGGAGAGTGTCTATGACCGCGTGGATGGGCTGAGCGGGCTCAGCGATGTCACCCTGACTGTATACACATCCTTCTCCAGGCTGGGGCTGCAGAAAGTCTCATCAATGCAGGAACGGAAGGAAGAAAAGCTTTGCAGGTAGTCCACCTGATTGCCCAATACCAGGGTTACTCTCAGCAATGCAGGATGAGAGCTTTGTTTATTCCTGGGCTGCTCGGCTGCTGGGCCTGAAGGCGAGGCATCACCTGCTTTGCTACAGGCCCAGGCTCCAGTTCGGTCCCCATTCCAGGTTTCGGAGGGCCCTCACTGAAGAGCCCTTGGTAGGCTGCCTCCCTCGGCAGCCGGGCTCAGTTGAGAGGCCACTGGGTATAACCCATGGTGAGCTGCAGTGAACATGGACACCGGGCTGACTCTTCAGCCCTGCCCAGGGGCTGTCAGCCTGGAACATGCAGTGCTGGGTTATATGGACTGATGGTCCGATCAAGGGAGAAAATAGCTCCATAGCTGCATATGGCAGTCCAGGGTGAGGTAATCGGAGGACGAGGCTAAGGGGTCATAAAGTCCTGACTCCGATATGATGACACCTGACCGTTTGAGAGCCAGTGGCCACGAGATGGCAGTCCTGCAACGTAGGACCTGGGCGTAAGGCACACCAAACCCGGTGGACTTACTTCTGATTAGACATTTATGATGCAGAGATGTGATGTGGGAATCAGGAAGACCCCAGATTGCTTCGGTGTGCTGTGAGCTCACTTGGAGGCTTTAGGTGAGCCATTCTGTCACACTCCCCCCTTCCATACTAGCAGGGATCATACAGACTGAAACTGCAGGCTTCTTAGAGGGCTTGCAACTAGATTATGCTGGCGAGGTGTCTCACCACTTCGGGCAAGAGGATGGGCCCCGGTCACGTGCCCCTTGCGCCCCTTCCAGGTCGTGGAGAGCCACGGAAGCAAAGCTGAGGCGTGGGGAGGCATGCAGTGCAGGGCAAGCTGGGCAGGCAGCTGGCCCAGAGAGCCCTGCCGGCTCTGTGGCAAATGTCACAGCGGGAGAGCAGCTGGCAGGGCTGGCAAGCGCCCACCGGGGCCGGCAGTGGGGAGCAGTGCCATTCGCCGCCGCCGCCGCTATTTGTTCCGCCACCTGATGCAAACTCCTCAGTTTGCCCTGCTATTTACGCCTGTGTACTTTCCCCAGATTTGAGCCCCAGGGCTTCCCGTCCAGTGTGCACCTGTATTTCTACGACGACCATTTCCAAGGCTACTTGGTGACCCAGGAAGTACAGAACTTTGCAACGCGGCAGGTGGAGTCTCTGGAGATGTGGATGATGCCTCGAGGGACTCTCAAAATTGCCAGTCACGGCAGACAAAGTAACCGCTTACAGAATCTTGAGGTAGGATTTCTGCGTTTCCCCCTCTCTGCTCAGGTTCCCTTCTGGTTCAAAGCTGTCCAAGCACTCTTTCTGTCCTTGCACAAAGGAGCCCATGTCTGCCGATCTGAAGGTCTCTGGAAGACGAAGCCCACCCCACGCCCAACACGTCCACCTCCCCTTAAGATGCAAAATGCAATTCGTTTCTGATTGAGAAACATCCCAGTGTAAGCGAGTGGTCAAGACAAGGTGCTACAGAAGGAACACTGGAGTCTGCTGGAGTCTTGTAGAATCAGCACCACAGATTCTCCTTCCACAGTGGAGGAAGCTTTTTCTTCAGCACGCTTCCAGATGGAGGCTGTCACTATTGGAAAGCATGGTGCAGTTGTGTCGTGTTTTCCCATGAACTGGTTTCCCAGGATAAGAGAAAAGATGGAAGAAGCAGTGGGAAACACGAGAGTGTTAGGACTGGGAGATCACGACAGTTGGGCAGTTGCCTTCCTCCAGTTCTGGAACTTCCTTCTCTAGAGGTCTCTTCTGGAGAGATTCATGTGTGACCTGCTCTTTGTTTGAGGGTCTACTGAACATGGCTGTGATGTGTGTGAATATTGTAACCATATTGGATGCATGGGGCTATCCCACCCAAACAGGAAAGAACCGCGAAAAATGAGCCCATCTGTGTCTGACGGAGGCCTAGCTGCAGGCAGGATCTGAGTCACTTCCTGAGGCACTGCTGAGCTCTCGTATTTGAGCAGACTTTCAGTGGCAGAAGTCAAGCAAGGGTTTCTTCTAGCAGTAGATCGAATAAATCATGTTTTTATAGACACATGCTGTCCTTCAATTTGTTGCATTTTATGTATTTTAATAACATTTAAGGTTATTGCTAACATTTTAAGGTTATCAGTATTCCTTACTTAAGGACACAGATTCTGAATGTTTTCTTGCCATTGGCAAGTCCGCCACAACCATAGCTGGAGGGAAATGGCAGGTTTCACTGTTTTTGACCCAGGGCCTGGTTTGCATGGCCACTGTGGCTTAAGCATGGCTTATTGATGAGTGTTGAGTGCCATGTGAATGTGGATGAAATGACCAGCCACACCTGGACAAGTAACTAGGCCAATGGTGCTCAGCATGGTGATCATACAGACCAGATCCAGGGGTGTAATTTTCCACTCTGAGCTTCCTTCCTTCCTTCTGTGCTCCCCCAGGTAGGTACTGAATGGGACCCCAAGGAGAGGATCTTTCGCAACTTTGGTGGCTTGATCGGGCCTTTTGATGAACCAGTTGCCATGCAGAAATGGGCCCGGGGGCCCAACCTCACAGCCACTGTGGTCTGGATTGACCCCACCTACGTCATCGCTACATCCTATGACATCACAGTGGATGCTGAGGCAGAGTTCACGCAGTACAAGCCGCCCCTCAACCGGCCTCTCCGCCCAGGTGTGTGGACTGTCCGCCTCCTCCAATTGTGGGAGCCCTTGGGAGAGAGTCAGTTCCTGGTGGTCCCACAGACCTTCAACCACAAGCAACCCCTCAGGAAAGGTAAGTCAAGCTACACTGGAGCTGCTTTGCAGTGAAACCACTTCATTTGGCTGGCACAACAAATGCTAAGGACATCAAGGGCTTTCCACCCATTACCTGGCAGAAAACAGAGGTGCATGTCCCCAACCTGAAGCTCTCCGGATTTCTTGAGAGCTGCACTTGGGGAGGACCCCTAGCCTGAAGTTCTCAACAAATCTGGCTGGAGATAATGGGCATTGTAACCCTGCACACCTGAAGGAGATTAGGTTTGGAAAGTGTTTAAATCCAGTGGTAAATCCAGTCATTCTTAAGTCTGTGCTGAACACACCTGTCTGGCACTTGTGCTTCTAAATGCATATTTGCTTCCTTATATTTGTGGCTACATATTACAACATTTCTAGGGATGTACTTAAAAAGCCCCACCTATTATGCAACTGGGTCCTCAAAGGTGAGTTTAGATTTCATCGCTGCTTCTTGCAGCCTAGCAGTTCTCCCGTCTTCCTTGAACGTTGATGCGGTGACGTGCACCAGCCTCCCCAACCTGCTGGCTTCCAAACGGTTTGGTTTTGACTTCCAGCAGCCACAATCCACATGGCCAGTGATCAGGAATACTGAGAGCAGTACATCTGTCAGTCCAGGTTAGGGAAAACAGGCAAATCCTATGCAAATATGAGACCGGTGAAGAAATGTAGAAAGGCGTCTTTAACTTGCCGACTTGAAGTGTGCCAGGAAGTGCAGCCCTAAAAAATTCAGTGGCGGAGGATGCCAAGATATTTGAGGCAGAACCACAGCCACTGGTGCCCCACCATCAAGTAAAGGGGTGGTGATTGGAGAGAGAGCTCCCTGATTCTTCCTTCCTGTTCCTGGGATGCCTTGATGAAGGTGTGGGTGGCGGGTGGGTAGGCTGCAACCAGCAGCAGGCAAGTGTGTGCCCAGGCTGCTGATGTCATCAAGGTGACCATCTACTCAGGACCTCATGGTGGCATCCACTGCCAGCCACTTTCCCTGGCATCCCGAGAAAAGGAGGATGCCAAGCTGTGACAGCCAGTCATTTTGCCTGGAAAACACTGAGGATGAGGAATGGAAGTAATGCAAAACCAGACTCAGTTTACTTAAATCATGGGTCCTCAAACTAAGGCCCACAGGCCGGATCTGGCCCACCATGCCCATTTAACTGGCTCGCCCCACAGGATAAAACGATCTCCTCGCGAGCAAGCCAGCACCTTGCCCCACACGCCTCCCTGTCCCCACCTCATCTCGTGGGCCCCTCCCCCTGCCGGCACTGCCCTGGCAGCCCGCTCCCACCGCTGGCACCTGTCAACTGGCCCCCTGTTGAAAAAGTTTGAGGACCCTGACTTAAAGGCTTTGCAGCAAACTCTGTCCATCCAGATATTTTGGCCTACAGCTCCCATCATCCTCCACCACTGGCTGTAGCAGCTAGGGCTGATGGGAGTTGTGGTCTTCCAGATGTTTTTGTGTACCGGTTGCTCTCTCCTAGTTTGGAGGGTAAGACGTTCCTGCTTGATGGCGGGTCTTTTATGATGCACTCACGGGGCCGTGCCCTGCTCACCTTTCCTTCTGTCGCTTCTGCTCAGAGGATGGCAAGTGGCTGCACGCCGGACCGCCCCGCAATGAATACATGGACCAGAATTTCCAGGGCCTGGCTGGGATCCTGAGCCTCCCCCGCCTGGACGGCACCGGGCGGGCCTCCCATCAGCACACGCAGCTCGTGGGCCACGCACTGGAGAACTGGACGGACAGCAGTGTCGGCAGCTTCTGGTCGGTGGCCGGCCTCTGCGTGGCAAGCCCCTCCAGCTGCTCCTCCCTGGAGCTCTGTAGCAAAACCTCCTGGAGTTCCCTGTCCCCCGACCCCAAATCAGAACTGGGGGCCATCAAGCCCAACGGACGGCTGAGGTAGCAGGGGTGGCCGGCAGCGCATTGTTGGGATCAAAGGATGGCACGTGTGGGGCAGGCAGGCGCCCCCCGCCCCACTTCTCCGCAGGGCAAACTCTGGGCAGCAGCATCCTGTGGAAAGACACCTCCTGCATGTGGGCGGACAGGAGGACCTTTTCAGCGGAGCCGAAGCGCCCCCGCCTGTCAGAGGCACAAGGCGGTGGCCCCGCCCACTGTGCTCAGGATTGGCTGGAGAGGGTGTGGGTGGGAGGGGCTGCTCCCCTGCAGATGGAAGTGCTGGCGGCCCCCGGGCTCCGACCCACCCGCGGCACCGTGCCCCTCCATTGCGGACGACGCTCTGCAAGATCAGAACTTTTTGTTCCCAAATGGTTGCTGGCAGAGGATTCTGGGAAACGGCGGGGTGGGTGGGTGGGGAATTCAGGAAGCCCGGCTGTTACGTGCCAGGTCCGTGCCTGCTGAGCGGCAGGTGCTGACTGGATGGACCCGTCTCCCACCCCTCTTCCTTCATTTTAGTTACTTTTTTTACAAATGTCTATACATATGTACATATATATTAAAAAAACAAAGTGCAATAGAGACTGTGGTCATCCTCCCTCCCTGCCCCATTCCATCTCAGTGTTTCCATTTTCGGCTTCCATTGTAAGATAAGCTTGTGCTCCCAGTGAATCAGAGGCGAAAAGGGAGTGGAATCCGTGGTTCCTTCCTAGCAGGGCAGCGGGGTGCCTCTTGCTACTGACGTCTGACAGATGATTTCTCTCTCCCTGTTGCAACACAGAGCTGCCTTCCCACCCCTGCTTTAGTCAGAAGCAAAGAAGGGACCAGACCTCTGGCAGCCGTGTCCTCTTCAACGGAGCTACCAATCATGCCAAGCCTATGTGCCGCTCACACACCTCACCATCCACCTTGTCTGTTCTCCTCCCCTCCCAGCCTAACGTCTGGCTGTGTTTGTGAATTGGTGGCATATTGCAGAGCTCGGTAAATGGTCGTACCTGTCCCATCCAGGTAGCATGGACATCTGAAGTAAAGCATTAGATCCCCTCCTTTGCTTTCAGGTGAATTCTCTTCGCGTTGGATGGCTGGGCAACTCTCTCTTTGCACCGGCCACTGCTGTTGTCACAGTGAGTGCTCCTTTCCTCCCAACTGTTAGATGTATTTCATCCCTCTTCATTTGTAGCTCTGACTTGTGTGTCTAGACAGCCTCATTTGTGACCCTGTGAACACACAGACACCTACCTACCTTCAGAGGAAAGCGTAGCCCTCTGCAGCTGTATGCCTCCCTGCCAGAAACAAGTGTTCCCATCCACAGAGAGTGACCCTGTTCTGTACCAAACGTTGTTCTATGTCTAGTCATATTTCCTATCCAGAACTGATCTTTAAAGTGCATCCTTGCAGGCTGATGACTGAATCACCCCCAGTTGAACTGGGGACTGCAGTGTCTGAGGCTCATTGTCTTTTCCCTAATGATTGTTACAGAAGTGTTGAAATCGTCTCCTTCTGGAGTAACCTTTTTCATTTCTTTAGAAAATAAAAATGTGTGCCATATCAGATGCCAGGCAGAACACATAAATCAGTGGTGGACATCCTGGTGCCTTCCAGAGGTTACTTGCATCAACCCCAGCCAGCATGGCCAGGAATCAGGGATGATGGAAGTGGTAGTCCAACAAAACTGGAGGGCCATGATTCCCCACCCCTGACATTTGTGATTTGACATGGGGAGGAGTTGTTACTGTCCCTGAAAATATTTTTTAGGAGGTGGCTATTTCTCCCCCAGTTGAAACGGACCTGAGGTTTGGGCTGCTGGCAACAGACTCAGCGAGACTTTAAGAATCTTTTGATCTCAGGGTTTGGTCCAAGCCTTTCCAGCGAGAGGGCTTCCTTGCATGTCTTCAGAACTGGTTGTTGGTTTGTGTTTTTTCTGGGTCAGAAACCGTGGATTACATACAAAAGGTCTCTGGTTTTCAAATCAGTAGTTTGGTGCTGGTGCTAAAAAAACTCCAAGGCAGTGAATCGGAAGATCTTTGTGGCTAGGGGTTTCCAGGCCTAGAGCACATTGATTAGGGCTGTTTCCCCCACCCAGGGCCCAACCCACCCTGTCTCCAGCTGTAGGATGGGGCTGGGGGGATAGCACATTAGCCCGGAAGAGGGACTCATTAGTGGGGGTTCTATATTCTGAGCCAAGAGAGAGAATGAGGCAGATTTCTCTGAACTGAAACCTGTTCCAAAGAATGCGTGCTGAAAGCTTTTGTGTCAGAAGCATTATGTAAAATTGTCTTAAATATGCAACACAAATATATCTATATCTCTATTGTGTGAAGAGTGTCAGTTTTTGTAGCCAGCTGCCTTTTCCCTGGTGGGCTCAAAAAATGCCAGATCAGTTTCTCCTGCAGCAAAATAGCCTGCTGGCATCAGTTGACTAAAATGAGATGTTGGGAGAACTGGGGTGTGGTGGGAGGAGAGCTTCCAGTAGCCAGAATCAGCTACTCTCATCTCTTGAAGTGTTAGGCAGAGACCAGCACTGAATGACTGTCCCCAGCTTAAATCTTTCAAGCTCCAGGGCATCCCTGTACCTGAGGAAGGGGCCGGGAGACCTGATCTGTGCATCACTCCCCTCCACCTTTCTTCAGCCACCAGTTATACCCTACTAGCTGGAAAGTTTAACCTCTTGTCTCCAGTTTGATGCAAGTCTTCTAGCCATCACTGTGTAAATGAAGTGGATTAATTTGTCCTATTCAGCTATTATCCTTACCTGTATGTAGTGCAACGATCAGTTTGGAAACGCAATTGCTCATCATGACAGTCTCCAAACTGTTGGCAAGGAGAGTCCAAGATTATAGGCCGTTGTGTTGATCCATATCAACGAACCAGCCCTAGCAGTTTTCAGCACTGGAAGCAGGTCTTTGGTCATACTTGTGGATCTTGACTGCCCATTCAGAATCAGCCTGCCCCCAAATACTTTGCATTATAGTAAGGGCAGCTCACACCTGTATACTGCTGCTGAAAGAATTCTTCTCCCTGCTGCCCTGCAACTACTGTCAGGACTATAGTTAAGCTAAGGGTGAAAAGGGAAGGAGCGGAGGCCGGCAAGTGGCTTCAGCATCCCTGCGCACCATGCGCGGCATCCTTGAGAGCCCCCATCTGCTACAGCACCGACCGTAAATGAGGCGCAAGGGTGCCCATGCTAGCGCCACCCCTTGCTGTTGTTCTCGCCTTCCTCGCAAAAAATGTGGCTGGCTGCGAAGAAAGCCTGTGGAGGATCGTGAAACCTGGAAGATCAGGGTTTTGCTATTTCAGTTTTTCCAAGAAGTCACCATGCTTGTATAGAGGGTGATGAGAACAGCAGAGAAGGGGTGGGGCTAATGCTCTTATTACCCATTCCTTTCCTGATGGATAGAGCTGAAACATGAGGAGGAATATATGGGTCTTTCATCAATTTGCACGCTGATTTCTGCACACAAAAGCATTGATTTCCTACTTTGTAAAATTTGGAATGCTTTTGTAACTGAATCCAAGCTCTCTTGCCCAGATCAGAGGCTAAGACAGATGCATTATCTTTAACATTCATGGGATTATAGGCTGTCCTCATTACTTGTTATACTGTTCTATCCCCACACCAAGCCTATGCCATGGAGTCATCTGACCCAGCTTTTGACTTCCAGAGAGACGTGCTCTTCTTTCAGTTTTTTAAGAGGCTTCTAGTCCTCATGGTTACAGAAAATGTGGGGATGGAGCTTGAGGAGGGGATCACAGTGGTCAAATCAGATGTCTCACAGCCTTAGTTTACCTACTCTCAGCTCTTGGATAAGACTTAGTATTTTTAAAGGTATTTTTGGTACAAAATCAAATCATTCCTAGCAATTGAAGGGGGCTGGGGATTAAGGTGCATTCAAGAGACTGGCACAGAAATAGGGCCTAATCATAACTTTATCCCTAATTGGAAGGGCCTTTGCTAGGCTGCATCAGCAGCGTTTCCAACTACAGAATGAGCTCATTATCCCTCCGCTGCAAAGGAACTGGATGAATTCATCACTGCAGAGCGCTGAAAAGCCCCCTTGCATAAAAATTGCTGTAACACTGTCGGGCGTGATTAACCTTGCCATATCCCCCTTTATCACCATCCTGTGCACTGCTGCACTCCAGGGTGTGAAATGCTGCCGCCTACACTGCAATATTACAGCCATCTTTTAATGAGCCTAATGAGGGCAGATCGTGTAAATATGGCATTTTTCCAAACCGTTCAGCGAAGAGATTTTGTAATGACACCAGGGAGACTACTTCCAATTCTGGGTAAATAAGAGATGGCGGGGAGGAATGTTAAGCAAAGACAGCTTCTGATTCTGGGCCATGTTTTCCAGATGCTCAGGTGCACCAATCTTGGGATTATTTTGCCTGGTAATTGTTTCAGTCATTCTGGCAGAGGAATCCGATGAATCACATCTGTTTCATTCATTCAAGCACCGATTGTTTCCAACCTGGGCTGGCCAGTGGGTGCTTGTTATCAGCATTGACTTGAGCCAGTTCCCACCACCTGATACTGTTGCGGTGCTTTTGTAGTACACAAGGCTGTCTCTGCAGGGAAGGACAATGCCTCCTCTTCCCATCTGTTCAAAACCTAGCAGTTCCTGCAAGAACTCACAAGAGAATGAACTGCAGAAAATCTTACCCTGCAGGTTTAAGTGGTTTGCTCCTACTCTATAACAGATTAATTCCACGTAACCATAGGTCCAGGATGCTCGGGAGCCCGTTTCACACCCACACACCATATGGGATGTTTGTCCTTATATATGCCCAGTCTCATTAATTAAAATGGGATTCCAAAAAGAATGCATATATGTATGTACGTATGGGAAAGCAGGCCTCCTTTGTTCCAAGAAGGGATGGCCAGTTTGTGACCCTCCAGAAGTTTTGGCCTACAGTTCTGTATTGCTGGCTATACTAGTTAGCACTGATGGGAACTGCAGCCTTTGGTGTGTTTTGGCCTGCGTGTTGTCCACTCCTGTTGTAAGTTAAAGAGTCCATCCTAAGTTTATAGAGGACAACAGTTGTTCCCACTTTGCGTGACAGGGAAGCATTTGATGGTACTGCAGATACATACCAAGAGGAAGATTTGCCGCACTGCACTGCTGGCTTTGATCAAGGTTTATCCTTCATTCAGCCTAAATCTGCATTGTTAGGTATGTCGGTGGTTTGCTTTTTAATAGGGCACAAATGGAACAATTACAAGCAAATGCCAACTCTTTTGTGATGTTTGCACTCCCGGTTTCAAATCACAGAGTGCACGCATGGCATGCTTCCTGCACTGAGATAATTCCATGCATGTATATAAGGAAAAGCAGATATATTACAAAACACAATGTGAGGACCATTTATTTCATTGTGACTACATGATATCGACAGCCAATATAGGCAATTGCTGCCCTGCCCAAGGAGCTCACAGCAAAATATTATGAAGAGGCATATCTGCACAATTGTGCACATTATGGACCCACTTGTGACGGTTGCTATTCTGGAGCTTTCAGTACAAGTTCAGATAGGAAAGGGTGCCTATCCAGCCTCACAGGTATGAACTAACCTACTGAATATATCTCAGGGCAATGCAAGAGTCTGGTCTAGTAGAAGGGAATAAGCATGTTGTTAAAAAGGGAGGACTCACAGTGGACCATTAAATCTTGAAAGTGCCTATAAAGAATTCTCAAAGCCACTGACAAGACAGAATCTTAGCCAAAAGCCTGCAAATCCAGCAATGTGAAGCTATCCTGTCTCCTGCATCTTACCTACCTCCTCCAGGTCCCAAACCACTGCCTACTGCTTGCCTTCCTTTAGCTGTCTACCTCTGTCTCCCCGATACCTCTCCTGCCTCCTCTGTTCTATTTATGCTCGGTTCTCCAGGCTTTGACCCCCTTGCCCCATCCTCTACTTCCTACTGAAAGTGCGCAATCCCTTCTATCAACAGGTTTTCTCCTGGTTCTACCAAGCTCTGTTGCCTTCACTGTCCATCAGCATCCCATCGCTGTTGATTCTGTTCTATTGCTCTTCTTGGCTGTCAAAATTCTTCTGGCCGTTCTGCGACATCATAGGACTTAGATCATAGCCACACTGGAGTCTGACCATGGTTTCACTGAGCTCAGTATGGCCTACATCAGCTTCTCCAACCTGGTGTCCTCCAGAGTTGTTGGAGTGTAGCTCATGGCTGGCTGAGGAATGATGGAAGCTGTAGACCAACTCCTCTAGAGGGCACCAGCTAGGGAAAGGCTGGGCTACATGGACTGGCAACACCTCTCTACATTTTCAGACAGAGGTCTTTCCCTATTTTATCCAGAGATGCCATGGCCTGAATCTCAGACCGGGTGCATACAAGACAGGTGCTCTTCCACCAAGCTGTGGCTCTTTCATTAATTCAGCCAATGAAAAAGTTATTGCTTCTATATTTTGCCTTTATTCTTCCATATAAAGGGCATTTACCCACTGCTCTCCAAACTTTAGTATGCTACGATCTTGGAACAAGAAGCACCAAGATGTCACATTATCTCTCCTCAATCTGCGCACAACATCACCTTGCTAAGGACATGTTCTATAAAATGTTCTTAATGCTCCTTTCACCCTGTCCTACAACAGTCATCTATCTAAAAGATTCCTTTTCACACTGTGGCAGACCTTTGAACAGGCAAGTTCAAATTCAATGTCATGTAGAGCATTCTTCAAAAGAATCTTCTTTTCCTGAAAAGCAAATGAACTGCTTGCAGAAATTCCTGCAAGCAGCCTTCTGGTTATTCAAGGAACATTCAATAGCTGATCAAGTTGAGTAAAAACCAGCAGAGGGAGCTTTCTGCAGGTGTAATCTCACTTTTGTTAGAACAACCTCTATAAAGCACGATCACGTGCCAGAGGACAATGTGTAAGACATACTTGAAAGATCAAGCAGCCACTTTATGTATGGAATTAGTTTCTTATGTTTCTGGAACCTATGAGAGGAAGCCCATAAAGTACTGCTCTATTAAGATTCTCAGATGGTAGCTTCAGCCTTCGGGTTTAACTAATTCCTTTTTTCTGCAGAAGATAGGATAGGCTGCTGTAATTAATCTTACTAGTTATTAATTTTTATAATGGTTCATAAATATAACTAGTTATTTTGAAGAATTGATATTTGCCTACTATGGCATGAGGATTCCCAGCTTCCATGCAGCTCTCCTTAACCCTAAATAATAACCTTACACTAATTTTAAAAGAGCAGCATATTAGTATGGATCATCAGTATCAACAACCTGTGAGGTAGGTTTTTATTATTAAACAGTGTTGAGACGGGAGGGATTTGATGTAAGGCAATCTGATTATTTCAGGGTAGAACAGAGATGGATCCAAGAGTTCATCCAGGCAGAGAAGTCCTAGACCTGCCTATCAGAAGGTGCTACACAGGTATTCCTTCTTTTCTTCCTTGAAGGATTTTCTGCAATATGGAAAAAGGAAGAAAGTTAGCAATGGAAAACGGGAGGGGGGTTGATGTGATCTTGACACCCTATGAAATTCCATGAAAGAAGCAGAACCCATCAAAAAGCCTTGTCTGGAAGCACTCAAAGTCTCCCCAGTCTGAGTTCAGTCCTATTCATATGATGCACTAATTCAAAGGCTACTGATTGGCCTTCAGCCCTGCATTCCTGCCTATGGCGGTCCAAGTTCTGTAGCAGACACCCAAGCAGTTGGAGGGTTAGACCTGCTGAATTTTCATTTTAGCTGGGCAACCATTTTCTAATGCTGCCAGTGAGAACCACCATCACTTCCTTTGCTCACAGACTCTGAAAGAACATGACACACACCCAGCCCTTTACAACCCTGGCATGTTTATCAAACCCGTGCCTGGCATCTGTGAAGCTAACCACAGATGTACCAAGGGGCAACTTTGGGCTGAGAGAGATTTTATTTTATTTATTTATTAAAACATTTTTATGCCGCCCCATTCGCCGAAGCCTTACAACAAATAAGTTAAATTATCATAACATTTTAAAATATATACATTAAAATAAATTACAAATATACAATATAAAATAAGAGATGTGACTTATTCATCCAAGGCCACTCCTTCCGAGAAGTAGTATGTGGAAGGGGGAACACAGGAAACTGTCACATCTCAGGCCAAGTCACAGAACGCAACACAACAGCTGTTGTATTGATGGGACGAGTGGGAGGGCACAGGTGTGCTGCCAGCAGTGCATCCACACATTCTGTGGTTACTTACCAACCCGCAGTTGGCTTCTTTGGGGGCTGCTGAGTGTGATACCACAGGTGCCACCTGGGACACCAAGTAAGACCACTGCTCTGTCTAGCCCAGTATATATAGTCCACACTGACTGGCAATGGCTTTCCTGAGTATTAGGCAGCAGCACTTTTTCTAGCCCTGGCTGGAGCCGCTGGAGAGTGCGACTCCTGGGCCTTCTGATGCCACATGCCGGCTTTACCCGGAGCTACTGCTAGCATACCGTGTAACAAATGCGGATACGTTTGCACGCAGGGCTATTATCTTTAGTATTGTGACACGCTCAAGTGAGCTGTGGTGGGTCTGAACTAGAGTTCCTCCACGTTCAAGCTCCCCCCACCCCATACTGCCCGTTACACCACACTTACCCTCCACTTCCACCAGGCTTATTAAAATATCTAAAACGCATTCCGAGATCTTCGCATCTTGAGCGTATTGTGAGTTAGTATTACCGCAGGCGTCTTTTTCAAGGAAGCTCCTCGTATTGCGTAGTTCTGTTTCTTGAATAGTCAGAAGCCAATAACTCAGAGGTGATAGCAGCGCAAACTCTTGCAGCGCACAATTAAAAGCCATTGCTACCGGAACACTACCGCAGGAGGCGAGGAAGAGCTGCCCTCCCCCCACGTGCACAGTTTCCATGACGACCGCCGACACAATGTTCTATCCGGAGAATGTAGCAATTTTGACTTTCAACCAATCGGAACTGAGAGCGTCCAATTAGTAACCAATGAGAAGCGAAATCTGGGAGATAAGCTGCAGGAAACCGATAGAGAGGGTGCAAAGATCTGCTGGCGCGGGAGCCGGCAGCCCAGAACCGAAGCCAGGGGGGAGGGCGTATTTTTCTTGTTCTGCTTAGTCCGGTTTAATCTCGGCAGTGAAATTCCAGTTCTGAGTGAACATTGCACTCTGATCCACCTTGGGAAGGATTTGCAGGAGTTGGGTTGGAGGTGCCGGATGGAACTGGGCAGGCCTGGGAGGTTTAAAAAGAAAAACATTTAAAGAGCTTTCAGTTGGGGTGAATCGACCGGATTAGATCTGGAGCGAGTTTTTGTAAATTATATAGAACGGACCCTATGGTATGGATAATAGAGACCAAAGTGCAAAACGAACGGAACTGACAGCGGATCTCCTTCACGGGAAAGCGAAGATCAGGAGCAAGCGTACCAAAAGAACCAAGCCAACCTCCTCGGACACGATTACTTTCAGCACACCTTTGTAAGGGAGAAGAGAAACGGAGCCGCTTCTTATACGTCAGGTGATCCAGCACCAGGCCACGTCTAGAGGGAAAGAAGAGCTCAGAGCCCACTCTCAGCTCGCCAAAAACATACTCGCGTGTTGGAAGGCTAATATGCGAATTCAAGGAGAGAGGGGCGCAATCTAGCAGGCAACGACAGGAGAACCACCCAGAACCAGGCACGAGAGGAGAGGAGAGGAGCGGGGAGGAGGGAGAGAGACACTGCCAGGACACGCAACCCTTCCTTAGGGAAACTCATCCTAGGCTCAAGCCAGGGAAAGAGGTAGAAGCTAAAAGTAACCCGAGTGGACTGAATGGGCTCTGGCGTGTTGGAGCAAGAGCTGACTCGGCTGCGTGGCTGGGGAAGGAATTGATCTGAGTAGCCTGGATTCCGTCAGCCTGGCAGCTGTTCCTACATGTGGAGCTGCCAAGCTGGGAGAGAGCTCCACAGTGGACAACCCCTGAGATGACCCAGCCAAGTGAGGCGCATACACACACGCCCACCGCCAGTGTTCCCATGGAGAACAATGTAGTGGCCATTATCGTAGCTACCAGTGAGTACTTACATGCTTTTTGTTTGGCAAACTCAGTTTTATGGGGGGGGGGGGCGCTGTGTCTCTGTCTCTCTCTCTCTCTCTGAATGGAATTGCCTGCAGAAAATTACCTCAATTTCCACCACCTGCACCAATTCATTATATCAGCATGCCCCCCCCTCCCGATCTAGTGTCGTCTTAGTCTAAGCAAGCTGGCTGGGGATGGCTGAAGCCGTTCTAATCCAACACACTGGAGGGCACCAGGATGAGAAAGGATGGCCTGTGTTTCAAAATATATGATACTTCTCTGAGGGTGTGCAGCCTGCTACTATATTATTTGGGCTGTTCAAGGTTGGAATGCTTGCAGTTCCCTCCAGCTCAGATCCCCAGGACCTATTTGCAGGCATTGGACAAAACCTCCTCAGATATTGTTTCCAGAGGCAATTGCAGGTTTAACATCACACCCCTTTCTGTCCATTAGAGCTATGGGGGTATCTTTGTGCTAGGCATGTTCATATGGGAGCTTCCAACTTAAACTCCTTGTTTGGTTTCTGCAGTTTGGATTCATCATCCACATTGACCCCACGATTCTTCACAATCTTTTGGGTGGGTTAGTTACCAGATGGGGAAAATATGGCTCTGTTTTAGTTCCTTTGTATGATTGGCATGGACTGGATGTGGCGGTTTGGCAAAGCCCCTCTGACATCTTAAAACTGTAGGGAACATAGAGGGATAGTATTCAAACAAGGATCTAAGGGAATTTTTTTGGGGAGGGGGTGAATTTTCTTGGACTCCTTTCATGCAGTTCCTTTTCCGTTAAAGTTTTGCAAATAGGGGTATAGGTGGAATGGTATTTGTTATTAGATAAATGTAGGTTGATACAAGAGTTTATAAGCTTCTGAAGATGTCACCTGTTTTTCCTATGAAGATTTCCATGAATCTAAAAACCTTGCATTCTCCTTGACCAAGCTGTTGGCCCTTTTAATTATTTTGAATAAAAAAAAGGAAGTGGCTTTCTAAGAAAGCAATTGCTCCAGGCGTTTTCATAAGCCAAACATTGTCTGGAACTAAAATAGGCTTCCAGGTTCACTATCTCACTACTCAGGATTGGTAGTTATCAGCCCCATTAGTATTTCTGTTGCACCCATTTTTTTCCCTCAGGGAATGTAAAAGTGATACAGAGATCATCAGACTGTAATTTATTTAACAAGCTTTTGAGTTTCATGGTTACAGTGTTCTGTGATGCCTGAAAGACAGTGATATCTGACCACAGATATTAATGAATAAACCATCTATTGTAGATGATCATCCAGCCCCTCCTTCGGTCAAAAAGTCCATTAGCTTATCTGGAAAAAAATTATTATTCAAATCAGTTTATATTCCACTTTTCTATTTAAAGATGCCCAAAGTGGCATCAAAAGTCAAAAATAAGACCAGTGTTAATCAAGGACCAAGGTTAGAAAACATATCAGTAAAATAGACTTGGGACAAAGTTAACAAATATATCAGATGCATTTCACCCACCAAATAAAAAATGTCTGCCAGAACAGAAGTGTTTCTAAAGGCATTAGCAGATGCTGAACAGAGGTGCTTTATAGATTTCCAGAGCAGATAGTTTTCATGGAGCAGGCTGAGCTATAAAGAAACCTCTGTCCCACACTCCAACCAACTCTGCTTGAGATACTGGGTGGGATACATAGAATATGAAAGTGGAGAATTCAGCCCATACGTTTCTCATCTGAAGCAAGCATCTTAGCCTAGAAACCAGTATTCCCCATTTTGGAAGTGTTGCATTCAGAAATTGCCCTGCTCTGTACAGATCACTAGAATTATACAGTTGGAAGGGACCCCAGTGTGCTGCTGATACAGGGAATCCAGAGGGGAAGCAAATTTGCTCCATCATCTATATGTAACATCTACTAATTTATTTTAAGGTAGCTATCCTATTACATCTTACTAGCCTCTTCCTCACACTAAACATGCCCCATTCCATCAATATTTCCTTATAAGACTTGGCCTTCAGGCCCTTTACCATTCTTATTGTCATCCTCTGGATGTGTTCCAGTTTGCCAGTAGCCTTCCTAATCATCAGTGCCTAGAACAGCACACAATGTTCCCGGTGAGGACTGCCCAAAGCACAATAGAGTGGTACCATTATTTCTCATGATCTGGACACTTTTCTTTTGAAGCAGGTTACAGTTGTATTAACCATTTTAGTTACTGAATCACACTGCTGACTTACGTTTAGCTTGTGATCTGCTGAAACTCCTAGAGCCTATATTTATATGTATCCCATCCTTTATTTGTGCATCTGGCTTTTCCTGCTTAACATATAGAACTTTGCATTTATCTGTGCTGCTGAAACTGATTTTGTTAGTTCTTCACTGTGTCTGGATCTATACTTGTTTACTTGAATTTATTTATGAAATAAATTAGTTGTATCCCATGGTGGTTTAGTCTTAGCTGAAAGTGCTTCCTCTTGTTTAAACCGTGGTACCCAATTTCTGCTGACCCTCTCCTTCTCCTTTAGCATCTCACCACCCACCCCAATTCCACGGAAAACTCCTGAGGGTCATGCCACACTTCTGAGACAGAATAGGATCACACAGAAGGCTGTGGTAGGTAAGGGAGCTTGCTGCAAATTAGGTGCCCCAATCTGCATAGAGGAGGCGTTTTTAGCTAAGGTAAAGCCACTATTGGATACACTCCTTAATCTCCTCAGCATTTTTTGTTACATGTAATTAGCTCTAGAGAAGGAATGCCATAAAGGTTGATTGAAACAAATAGAAGCCCAGAACTTCTACTAAGTTCTGCTGATTCCACTTGGTAGAAAGAGGGCAATTTCCCATCTGCTAATTAGATTTTTCCATCGGATGTTGGTAATGATAAATCAGTCTGCTGTATGCATGAACTAAGATGCTTTTTTAACAAAACAACAAAATGAATACATTTTGAAGAGATAGGGGTTCTTGGGACACAGCCTTCAATTTTACAGATCAAATTCTTTAGCAATAGGTTCTGAACTCCTGATAATGCAGGCAAAAGCCTCACACTGTGGGCTGCATTTGTACGTAATGCTAAGCCATAATTTTACGTTACCTATAGTTTGTAGCTTTAGCCATGATCTGTCCTTCAGATGAGCAAACCACAGTCTTGTTTCCTATTTCTGGTCAGTTTCTCTTCCCTACCCTTGATTTTGGCAGCCTTCAGGGAGGTTTCATTTTCAGGCATCTCCTGCTGGGCACCTGTGTTTCAGGGCAGATAGCAGTTCTAGTAAACCAGGGATAAGCAACAGTTCTGGTTTCAGACATTGCAACAAGCCATGGTTTAAATAAATCAGACTTTGCACGTCAACAACCACCCCATCCTGGATTACAATTATCATCTTAATCTCTTGTGAGGTTAGGAAATAATATTGCCTAGCTTTCATAGAAGGCAGAAACCTGAGTCATTTGGAAATAAAGAGATTAAACTCACAATCCCAAATCTATTTGTTCAGTTCCTCTTAAAGCTAGCAGGACTTCTATGAAGTAAGCAAGAAGTGAAATCAGAGACTGGCAAGACCAGAAGCGGAGTCCAGTTTCTTCTACAGCAGTTTACCTGCTGACGTTTTCACTTAATTTTTCAGGAAGTCCCACAATAACCTCTCCCCATTTCTGACAGGAAAACAATAACAATACTTTAAATAATAATGTATTTCCCTTTCATGACACACAGAATCAGCTGTCTGAAGCTATTATTGTACTTCGCTCAGCCTAATGGTAGGGACAGTCTGGCTGTGCACCGTACCACCTTGGGCAATCAAGCTAGGCTTCCACAGTTAGCATTCAAAAACACTTTTGGTGCAAAGAAAATGTGTGTGTTAGTAAAAGGGCTGTGTTTTCCCCCCGTCATCTGGCTTTTTATGTGGAGGGATTTTAAAAATACACATTTTGGTGAAATATCCAGTCATATGAGCACAGACAGTATGTCAGTGAAAGCAAACTAGATGTGATTGGATCTCTGGACATCTTTTCCTTTGTTTAAAGGGAGCTGGAAAGGGGAGAAGGATCCAGTTTGGATCTGGGCCATAGTGGCAGAGGTAAAGAAAGTACCTCTGCATTAGTTTTTATTATGTTTTGGTTTACAAAATTTGCAGAATATAAAGTGTTGGGTAAAAATTTCTCAGCAGCTTAGCTGTATAGGTGGTACCTCAGAATCAGTCAGTCCAACAACCTCCTTGCAAACAGCTAAGCGGGGATATCATGGATAGGGCATTTGGAGGGTTTTCATGCATAGGCTTGCCATAAGTGAGAGAAGACTTGAAGGCTCCCTGGAATGAACCCTGCTTATCCATGCCCTGCACCTTTAATGGCTCCTCAGAGCTCTTTTGCCTGGCAGGTGCATTCCAAAGCACCTGGAGGACTCCTATATAAATAGGAATATACTACTATCCACTACCTGTGGTTAGTTTCCTGCCCACTCATCCTTTCCTGCTAAGGTCTGTTGCACTCATAGATAATAATTGGGAAATGTTGCGCTGTGCTTTTCTTTGTTCCATGGTGGGTATTCAGAGTGGTAGGGCAAAGGAAGAAGATGGACTTTCGTCTGCGTAAGCATAACAGTGGCCACACGGTACCCATGCAAAAAAATGCAGCAGCTATCTCTGCCCACATACCCAATTTTGCTATAAGCAGAGCCAGAGGTCCAATTGAGCAGAGGTGCAATATGCTAAGAAAGAGGTGCTGAGGAGGCTACAGCAAGTGGGGAAAAGACTATCGAGGGCTGTTGGCCTTATATTACCTCCAGTATCGGAGGCAGTCTGCCTCTGTATACCCATTGCTGGGGCACATGAGCTCTCGCACTCACATCTTGCTTCTGGGTTCCCACCGGCAGCTGTTTGCCTGCTCTGAGGACACTGCAGGCCTTCAGTCTGATCCAGCCTGGTGGTCCTTATGAAGTAAGAGCCATACTCACTAGGAAGGACTTGGCTCTAGCACCTCTGGGTCTCTGGTAATCTGACTGGGGAAAAAAAATTGCATTTTTAATACTTTAACAAACATATTGAATAGCCCACCTATTAATCCTTTTTCATTTTAGTTATATTCATTTTAGTCCTTCATGTTAATCATGTATGGCATATTGATGGCCTGAAAAAAGAACAACTTATCGTTTTGCTAGGCAGAAGCTTTTCTGTTTAATCAGCTGAGGACAATTTTTAGCAAGTTTTTCTTAGAAGGTTGGGATAATAAAATAATTCATTGACTTTCTTTGCTTTCCCCCCTATATCTATCAATGCTGGAACACAGTGTAAAGCTCCCAGATGTTAAACCAAAAACTTCAGCTTTTGCCATTATAATGAGCATTTTTTTCAAACGCATTTAAATCATTGTGCATTTAAATTGGTTGGTTGGTTGGTTTTCTTAATTGAGATTTTATTAGGGTTATTATTACATTAGATTTAGTTATGTGAGGAACCCAAGGTGGCTTACATAGCTCTGTTTTAAACTCCAACAACAACCCTGTGAGGTAGGTTGGGCTGAGAGTGGCCCAGAGTCACCAAGGGAGCTTCATGGCCAAGTGGGGACTAGAATGTGGCTGTCCCAGGTCTCACCACCACATCAGCTCTCCTTTTACATAAACCCTTTTTCTGTCAGAGACTGGGATACTGACTAGGGAAGAAAGTTTGGAGCAATAATGGCTACTAGAATGGTGGCTAGTAAGTTGTTGCTTTACAGCATCTCTTAGCAGAGTTTTGTGGGACCGTTTTGATGTTGCTTTCAAGGCTGGAATGAGTCATCAGTCACTTGTGACTATCAGGGGCCTTGCAGGACTTGATTTCCTGGGGTGCAAGCCCCAAATTTCTTTCCCAGATACATAAATATGTTCCACTGAGCCCTGGATATCCACTGGTGTCAGTGGAAGTTTTGCTTCTCAGCTTAATTGCCTGGACTGGGGCTGGGGAGGATTTTGAGAGGAATTTCGACAGGCAAGGGAAATTCTGCCTCTTTCCTCCCCCTTCCTATTCACCACCAAAGTTCACTCTGCATAGCAGGTAAGCTTAGAAAACTCAGTTTCCTTTGTCTCTGGGATAGTCTAGGTACAGACTAATTGTATGCTTTGTTTGAGATGATCTTAAAGAGACATTAACTGGCTGTGCCCTCTTTAAATAAATGCTAGTCATTATTCATACCTTTACCTGTACAGAGATAAACTAGCATGTTGAGTTCTGTGCAAATTTGTGTTGGGGCTGGACTCGATGGGGCTGGACCCCAAATTTTTACAGGGTCTAGTAATGACTCTGGGGTCTTTGCAGGTTCCCTTATCATAGTTTGGAAAGAACATGGTTACGGCCTCTCATAAGATCACCCCCTTGTCCTTCTCTCCCCCCCCTCCTTTTAATTTCCTGGGGTGACCCAGGCCTTCCCAAGGTGGTGCCTTCCATCTGCGTTGAGCCACCACTCACCATCCCAAGCAACAGGCAACCGGAGGAGCTGTAGTGCCCCACATCTGGAGGGCACCGGGCAGGGGCAGTTGCTGTGAAATGTACCGGCGCCCGAGGCCAGTCTGAGGCTGTGCAGTGCCCTCAACCGTATCTCCCTGTTCCCTTCTTTGCCAGCAGTTTCTTCCTCTGTGTTCATCGTGGCCATTTTGGTGCTGCTGCTGCTTTTGTACCACCGAGACCCTCTGTGCTGCCAATTTCTGTGCTCTTGCCGCTTCTTCCAGAGCCCCAGTCAATATGTGAGTATCTCGTCTGCCTCTTCTTGCAGTTTATCCAGTTTATCTTGCCCATTGGGCTGATTATCAGGCTGATCCACCCACCTGCCCACCCTTGGTCCTGGATAAAGAGCGCATTGGACTGAAGGAGACGTGGTGCACCCTCCGCGGGCTACCTATGCATGGCCCTGATCTCGCTGTTGGCACAGAATAGCCTCGTTTTGCTTTCCCTTGGCTGGAAAGCAGCTCGGGGACTATTTGCAGGCCTCTCCTGCGGCGCTACAGTGTTGGGCACCAAGGGGCACCGAAGCTCCCTGCCTGCTTCCCACTCTGTCTACAAACAAAGCCCTTTCACCTGCGCCTGTCCCCAGTTGGCAGCTTTTGAGCAGGGATTGTACTGTCAGGGGGCGCATTATTGAAGGGTGAGAGCACGATAAGGGAACACTTGGAGTGACTCACGTCGCCAGGGCAATGACGGGCTCCCTCTGTGCCAGAAAGAACTATGCCCCTCCCTAACTCTTTGGCTCTCTCTTGCACGGCCAGGCCTCCTTCCTTTTTCTTTCTTTCTTCCTTCTTGCAGGGATGGAGCACAGTGGGGAATGCTACTGTAAGGCCCTGGCAAACTCAGACAATGCCACTCTCGGCTGCTGGTCTCCCGGCAACCAGCATTATACTTTCCACAGCTCACAATTGGGGACAGCCGGAGAGAGAACATTCTCCCCTTGTTTTCCCCCTCCCTCACACACATGCAAGCACTTTTCATGAGTGATATGCTCTGTCAAGAAACTGAGGAAGGGAAGCAGCTCAAATAAAAGCGGGCTACTCTCTGGCATGCCCTCCACCACCCTTGGCCATGTGGGACATTCAGAAGAGTCAGGCTTGGGCAGTTTTCGGAAGCAGGGCTGGCCAAGACATTTGGCTGCCTAAGGCAAAAATGTGGCACTCCTCTCCCACTCCGCATACGTAGAATCAGAGCGAGTTCAGAAGGGGCCTCCCGGGCCATCTCGTCTGACCCCCGGCTCCAGCCGGCTCTGCTCACGACATGCCCACCATGTGCACGTCCAGCCTATCCTTGAATGCCCTCACCGAGGGGGCCTCAGCCACCTCCCATGGAAGCCCGTTCCATACCCAATGCAGAAGCCAGTTGGAATGATGGTTGAATCACTGTCCACAGGGGAGTTTCCTCTGCCCTCACAGCTCCATTCTCTGATATGAATCCTGCAGAGACTTTTTCCAGGTTTTCCATAACAAGGAACTGACTCCATTGTTTATATATATTCATACTTAAAACGTGTGTAAATCCCAAGTTGCCCACAGTTCATCAGTAAGGCTGAGCTTGAGAATGATCCATCCACACCATGTGACAACCCCCCCCCTTCCAATCACCCCCTTTCCATTCTATGGCTTGCGTTCTAGCAGAGTTCCCATGTGCACAATGGCTGCAGAATTACACACACGCACACGAGAAAGAAAATAAAATCTAGTGTGGAGATGAAACAATAGGGAAATCTTTGTTCAGTAAATTCCTGAGCCCTGGATAACTGTTGCAGGCACAGATGCCTTGACAGAAAAACACACTGGCAATCTTCGCCTGCCCCCACACTAGGGTTCCCAACTTGCTTTTTTAACCAGCTACTGCTCTTGAGCTTTTAATAGCAGCTTGATCTGGAAATGAGAGCGGGGGTGAGGACTTCACCTGCTGATTGCTATAGACCAAGCTCTCATCAGAGGCACAAGAACAAGCCAGCCTGGTTTTCTTCCTAGTCAGCAGGCCTCTCACTGCATGCCATGATCCTTTTTTTAGGGGTGAAGTAAAGAACCCCAGGAGAAATAGAGAGATTTCACTATGCTGCAGGGATTCTGCTTGCTCTTCCAAATTATGGGAAAGGGGATGGCTGAGGAAGCCGATTCTTGCTTCTAAGCCAAATGGCAAGGAGAGCCACAAGAAAGGTTGCAAAGAAGAGTCAGGGAACTGGTAGAGGTGAAAGAGTATAGAGAAGAGAATCAGCACGGGACTCCCGTGCTCTTTGTTTGTTCCACTCCCTTCACCACTGCATTCCTCAACTCGCTGTCCTCCAGATGTGTTGGACTATAGAGCTCATAATCCTCAGCCGGCAGGATCAGGCTGGAGACGTGATGCGTTCTAGCCTGACACTTCCGGAGGGTGTCAGCTTGAGGAAGCCTCCTTTACCTGGTCCAGGAAGGACTGGCTCCGAATTAAAACACGTGTTTCTCTTTTCTGCCCAAGTCAAGAAATGTAATAGGGACCAATAATGGTGGAGAGACTTCCCCATCTCCCTTTCACACTTCCCTTGAGTGAGCAACGAGTGAGTAAAGGCCAGAGTACGAACCCCACTGAACGCAGTCGTGCTGCTGCTGCGGCTGCTGAATAGCAGCCATGAGGAGGGATAGTGGGATCGGGACTGTGGCATGTCTGAAGGGAGGGTTTAACCTGTCCACCCTGTGCTACAGTCCAAACAAAAATCAATTCCCCAAACTGCTATTTGCTGTGGGAGGGAAGCTACTATTAGCAGCATCTATAGCAACTCCCTTCCCATAGGCTCCAATCCTGATCCAGCCCCTGTAGTTGCTTTTTAGGAAAGACAAAAACCAGGTATGTCCCATAATGTATAGTTTGGCTTTTAGAAGTTGTAAAGTCGTCTCATCTTCTTTCCTGGAAATGCATGATCAGGCAGATTTTAAGGGAGCAGCTCTGGCAAATAATATTGCAGGACTTCATTGCTGGAAGGTCATTGCATTAGTATCTGTCCCACCTTTATTTCCTGTGGCTGTGGCCCCTTACTCATTGTGACGGTCCTGTCTTTCGATGGCTTCCATTTGATGGAGCCTAGAAAGGCCTTCTGTGTCTAAACTTGGTCTCCACCCCATTCTCCTGCAGCTGCTAGGAGTTTACTGCCATCTTTCTAAAGATTCCTCATCTACACTCAGAAGAGCCAAATTTCTTCTTTTATCTTTTAACAAGTGGAAACGTTTTATGGAAATGTGCAGCTTTAGAGGGACTTAGTGAATTTGCTAATTGAGATGTCATGAATCATCTAATTACTGTGGAGCAACCACCTGAGAAGTGCTTTGAAGTGGGTGATACCTGTTCAGCCAAGAGTTTTGTGAATCTGCAATGCTGGTTTCTTCAGGACAACCTTTTCCCAAGAAGCTTTTTGCATCATGTTTACCCCCAGTCTAGGGTGAAAGACTGCCTTCGTTTTTGTCAGACAGCCTTGGGCACAGATGAAGGAGGACTTCTGCACTTTGTGCACACAGTCCAGAATTAGCCCAGTCATTATGGCCAATTTCTGAACCATTTATGGACAGTCAGTGCAGGTCATGTCAAGATGACTTGCTTGGTGGGAGGGTGCCTCCAGTCACTCCTGGATTTTTTTGCAGGAGTAAATGCAAGCTTCCGGTCCAACATTACCCCAGCCTGAGAGCTTTCCAAGTGCATTGTTTTCATCTCCTGAGAAACTGAAGCCAAGTCGCATGACCCTGAGCTCGTGGCAGCATGTCACTGGAGGAGAGAGAGAGCCCCGGGCACTCTGGTACAGTAGCCACTCAAGCACTTATGGCAATGCCTCCAGCCTCCAGCCATGCAGTGAGATGTCCAATAAGCCCAGTGATTTCAGGGGGAGCACGTGTGTGCTTAATATGCAGTTGTAACCTGTTGTCAGCTATTGCCCAAGCCAGTGAAAGGAAACTCTTGGCAGGCGTTTAGGCCAGCAGTGTTCAACCTTAAGGTTCCTCTGCGGCTTCCCAGGCAGCCACGCCACCTTTCCCTGGTGCTACGCCTTTGCCCCCAACCACTCATACTTTCTCGGCTTAACAGTTCAAATGCATCTTCTAAGGCTCAGTTATTAGCAGGAAGAGCTTTATGCTAAATTATACTGGCATTTATTTTTGGTATTTTGGCCCCATTCCTTTTGCCCAGCCCCATCCAAATCATCGCTGGCATGTGACCCCTAAGGGCTTCCTCAGAAGTGAGCTTGGCCTTCTGGCGGAAAGAGGTTCCCCACCCTTGCCTTGAGCTAGCAGATCTGTTGAAACAAATGGACTTAAGCTAGCATTGAATAACAATGCACAGAACCCAGTTTGTTTTCACATTCACTGCATGGCTGGAACGGTCTCTGAAAGTAGGTTGGGTGGTGCTAAGTGCATTGAAAACATGGGACTGTGGCTGGTGATGAAGCAATTGCCACATCCATACTCCGTGTGGATCAGCCTGCCCAAACTCGGGGCCATGTGAATCAATACCCAGGTGTCAGGTAGGTTTGCAAACCAGATGGAGACAATTTGCTTGTGGCTCACCTTTCAAATCCCAGATTTAGCTTTCAGACAACAGAAATCTGGATTTGATGCTTTTGTTCCAAAGGGGATTAATGGGATGATTGCAAAGGTCTGGTGTCTCAAGATCAGACTGTAGCGCCTATGGAGGCTTATCTCAAGGCAAAGGTACACCTAGCTTCTTGAGTTCGGGAAAAGGAGGGTGAGAAATAAAGCCAAGGATTTGATCACTGGTGGGCATTTCAGCTCACAGTCCACTCTGGCTAGTAACTCTGCCAGACATGGATCATCACCGTGTCCTCACTTTCCCATCTCTTGACTCAAAGAGGGTAATTTTGCCGGAGGAAGATCTGACCTGCCGGTAGGCAGGTCTGTGCCGATTTGAATTCTGCTCTTGATGTTAGAATTCGCTTATCTTTTTCTTACAAGGCCAGTATTTCTGTGATATATAACCAATATGATGGTATGCTGTGACTCCATTCTGTCCTGCTCACTCTACCATTTGCTCTCCCCCTTCATCCTGGCTGTCCCTTGTGATGGATCCCTTTGTGCTTGTGCACATATCATAGGATATTTACATAGCAGTGACTCACTGAATTTAAAGGCCATGGGAATCAGGGTTGGGAGCAGGGGCTGAGTTTTAGCACCCTTGCTAGAACAGGAGGGCTGGCCACTGTCACTGAAGAATTTCTGTTGTGTTCAAGCCAAAACACTCCTCACCAGAGCAAACAGGCCGCAGAGATCAGACACAGAAGGAACAATGTGGGGAATTTCTGGAGATGATTCAGTGTTATCTCTAGTCTTGCTGCCTTGATCACTGCTGCCAATGCCATCATAATTCCTAGGATAAGATCCCACCACAGCATGGAATATGGTGATAAGCATTTAACTGCTGCCATCTACAGGGGTAATTACATAAGCAGATAACAGGGTAGTCTGTTAAAGAGAAATTTACTAGCACTGTGTGCAGCTGTCCTTCAAATATATGAAGCACCAGGTTGGCTCACACATGTAACTAGTCATATTCCAAGATGGGAAGTGTTGGATTACACACCTTAGCAGAGGAACAGACGGAACATAAGAACAGCTGTGCTAGCTGAGATTAAAGGCCTCCCTAGTTCAGCCTTCTGTTCCCACAGACAGACCGTCAACCAGAACATGAGTACAAGAGCACTCCCCTGCTTGTATTTGCTGGGAAAGGCTATAGAGAGGCATATGGCCTCGGATTCTGGAGATGGCATACCGCCATCACGTCCAGTAGTCATGGGTAGATAGCCTCCTCCTCCAGGAATTTGACTAATCCTCTTTTAACACCATCCAAGTTGGTGGCCATCTCTGCATCTGGAGGTAGTGAATATTTCAGTTTAATGATGTGCAGTGTGAAAAGTACTTCCTTTTCTCTGCCCATTCTCTGAATGGTATCTTCTACCATTCAGCTTCATTGGCTTATCCTGGGTTCTTGTACTCAAGCCATGCATAATTTTGTGATCTCATGTCACTCGCTTTTTCCCTAACCTAAAATGCCTTAAGCACTCCCCTTGGAGGGGAGTTGTGTCCGTTCCTTAATAACGTTGGGTGTCCTTTTCTGTGCTACAGGACCTGCTGGTAGGCACCTGGGAGAACAGGTGATCAGCAAGGGTTTCAGACTCCTAGTTACTTAACAAAAGCCTCAACAGCCAACCCTCCCCCATTTCTGAATGAGGTTAATGCTCCCAGGTGAGATTTTTACTCTGCCATCCCCCAACCTCATTTGTGGAATTTGTCGGGGCATCCAAGTGAGGTTGTTTCCACTAGTAACCCACCTATGTTTTCACCCATGTCATTGCAGAAAATCTCATGGAATTGCCACACAGAACTTTTGGAGTGGTAATACTAGGAGCCTTCCATCTGGAAGCACCCAAGAAATGGTTTGGAGAAAAATGAATCTAGTGCAAAATAAAGCAGATCCCACAAGACTGAAATATGCCTGCCCTGGCTTGAAAGACTGGAGACCAGCTCTAGCATAAGGCAGGGGTGGAGGGTGTTTGGCAGTAAGTCACATCTGCACTTCATTTGCTTTGGACTACAATTCTCAGTATGATGAATAGCTGGGCATGCTGACTGGGGCTGATGGGAACTGTAGTCCACAACATCCATTTGTGGGGAGACTGGCTTGATGAAAAGTGAATGGCTTCAGCGAATGGTGCCCGGTGAGTGATTCGGGCGGGGTGGGGGGGCAGAAATAGCTCCATGTTGTTGACCTGCTTGCAGAACACTTCGCAGTTGATGCTGCATCACACGAACAGGCAAAAGATGGTGGCCTGCACACCCAGTTGTAAGACACTTGGGATCCTGGCTCCCTGTGTACTTACCCTCCTGATCTAGGAGGGGGCACAGTTACCTTGTTTATGCAGCAAGAGCAGGCCTGAGTCAGTACCTTGAGAGAGACAAACTTTGACACACATTCATTGCGCAGGGATCTTTATCAAGGTGCAAAATATTTGTTTGAGAGGTATGTTTACGTGTCTGTGTGCTTACTGCTTTTATTACACTGATATCCCACAATTTCCTTCAAGGAGTTCAAAGCGGTGTACGCAGATCTCTGCTCCCTGGCCCAGCAATTCCTGTTCTAATAGCAACTCCTGTAAAACTAAGAGACTGTGACTGACCCATGGCCACCATGAGCTTCAGGGCCAAGAACTATCTGACACCCAATCCAGGGTTTCAGATCTCTAATAAATGTTCTGATCCCAGTGGAAAACCCCCACGCTTGCAGGCACCTTCTCTTTGCGTGCATTTCTGGGTTTGACCAAAGGGGCTCAGGCTGGGAGGACTGTCTCCACATTCTACAGTTCAAGCAGCATGGAAAGAAGGAGGGGAGTTCTTGGATGCACCCCCTGCAAATCCTTGAAACACCCCTCCAGCACCATCCAGCTGAAAGAGATGTGAGGATGGAGGTGCAGTCTGGGGTTGCCATGGAAAGGTGCAGTCCTGTGCCAGAGATTCCTCTTCGGTAACATTAGTGGACAGTTTAATTAATCTCATGATCTGACGCCACTGTATTGCGCAATTCCTCACTCGGCCTCCATAGCACTGGTGGTGGCAGCGCACTCAGCCTGCTGACATGAGAACGGGAGGTGAATTGGCCTAGGGAAAGGCTGGGTGTCGGGTGTTCCCCAGTCTCATTTTATGCAGCGTTCAGGGTAAATTCGACATTTAACCGGCAAGCCATCAGTCCAGACATCTTGCAAGAGTGACCTGGTGCTTCCTTGACAACCCTGTGGGTGGGAAGGATGGGAGAGAAGGAAAATAGGGTGACAGAAAGACAAAATTGTATTTTGTGAATTGCTGTGAACTGCCCCGAGAGAGTTGACTATTGGACAGTATAAAAATAAGAGAGATAAGGGGTGGCCTTTGCCCCGCCCATGGCGGGCCACAAATTGCCCATGAGGGAATGCAGTTCTCAGCAGAAGAAAGGTCACCCGGCCCTGGACAAAAGGGTACAATGGGTGGAGGGATGTGAGCTGCTTTTTTTAAAGCAGCAGCTCCATGTGGTTTTCATTTTTGTACTATGGAGTTCCCCTGTGGGGGGAAATGCGTGAGAATGAATTACTACATTTCTATGCATGATGTTCATCCAGCACCTGACACTGGATGTTTTAGTGAGGGTCCCGAATGTGTTACTGCAATATTCTGAGTGGTTTCTTATCCCATAAATGTATTTGTGCAGCATTTAGAACTGCCTCTGTGGAAAGGGTACAGTAGTTTCCGCATTTTTTACAGATACTTCTGTTCTTTACAATATGGCACTTTACAAACTTGCTCCAGATCTGGAAATCCAAAGCAGAAATTTCAGCTTGTAATTAAAAAAAGGAATCCTCTACATCTTCTAGGATTGCCCTCCTCCTTACTTCAGTAGCAACCAGCGACTGGTGGGATCGTCCTCTGGAGCACAACGTCTGGATACGAGTGCAGCGGAAAATCCTGGCATACAGGTGGGAGATCTTTTGTGAAGGCTGTGGATCACCTGTACTTGACACATGCTGGCCACGGGGCAAGCACTGTTTTTTCCTTGAAGCAAGCTTGATTGCGAGTGTACAATCGTGTTGAAGCTGGTGCAATAGACCTGATTTATCGCAATGAGATCAGGGCAGCAAAGAGTCTCTGTCCATCCTCACAACAATCCTGTGAGGTAGGTTAAACCAAGAGAGAGTGACTGGCCCCTGAGCACCCAGTGAGCTCTGAACAGAAATTTGAACTCAGGTTTCTCTGGTCGACATCCAGCACTCTGGCCACTACCATGGTCAGCTGACTTACGATGGCCACAGCTTCACATAGTCACCCTGGTACCTTCCGTGTAGCTGAATTGTTCAGATCGAGTTTTTCACAATGGAGCACTGCTTTTCACAATATGGGATGGTGGTCTATTAAAACAAAGTGCCTGTTTCATCGTCTAGAATAGCTGGAGTATTGCCACTAACTGTAGCAGGAGTATTACTACCCTCTTCTGCTTGGCCCATGGAAGGCCGCCTTACAGTTCAATACCAAGTTGCTTGATTTTATTTATTTTATTTTTTTCCTTTTTCATTCCAGCTAGTTCCTTTTTCATCCCAAATGCTCAGGTGCATGCCAGGCAGCGTCCAGCTGCATCACACGCAAATGACGCTGCATTGGTGGAAGCTAGACCCGGAGGCGTGCACAAGAGAAGCCTCCGGCAGAGGCTGCAGTAGTGCAACCGGTCGGCATTATGCTTGCACGACTGTGTGCAAAGCACCATGGGCAACCGCCTTTTCGGGGGGAAAGGCTCCACAGAACCTCACTAGCAGCCTTTGAGCTTGCAGAATGACCCTCTTGGGCGCTGCCTGCTGGGATTATTCGACTCAGCAAAGTCACAGAACACTTATGCAGTAGGTGTTTGGCAGCATGGCTGCTAATGGCAGGGTGGAGTTTGTTAATGGCCCTGGAACAATTATCTGTAATTAGCTTTCTTTTTACTGTGTGTGTAGGTTTCTCGATTTATTTTATTGCTGTAAATGGGTAATTGTGTAGCGGGACAACCAAGCTACAGATTCCGCTGAACCGGGAGGGGACCTGGCAACCAGGCTCCACCACAATAAGGTGCCGCTTTTCCTATCAAGTACCACGTCAGCCTTAGCAGCAGGGGATCATATATTTCAGCACCTTCCACCGTGAAAACATCCCTGCACACAGAAAGGGGTTAGTCTAGAGCCCTTTATTTTGTAAGGAAGCATTCAAAAATATGGACTGAAAGTGGTGCGATTCAGGAATATAGATTACCCTATGATTCTGCTGCCCGTGGAGATGAGTTCTAAGCCTTCCTTCTTTGGCTTTTTCCAAATGTAGATGCATTGTTCACTGCGTTTTCTTTGGGAGAATTCCTTATTAAAACATGACAGCAAATTTCTAGCATGGCTTACGAAAATAAGTTCAGGCTGCACTCCGAAAAAGCATCACCGTTTTGGTCCAGGGAGGCACAGTGGGGGCCTGGTGGAGATGCCACGGGATTGAGTGGGAGGGCAGTGCTAGGAGTGGCAGAACCATGCACAGCAACTTCCCCCAGGGGCACAGGGTGTTGAACTGCAGCATTTATCTTAGGGAGAGGCCCGTCCTGGCCACACTGAAAGCCTGTTTAGTTCCCCCCCCCCCCGTTTTCTGCTCCCCATTTCTGACTCCTTCAGCAAGTTCTCTTCCCCCCACCCCACCATCATGGCTGCTGCTGATCACTGATGCAGCAGAAAGATGGGGAGTGAGCCGGGGGCAGCACCTGCCCAGCATCCTCTTTGCAGCTGCGGCTCCCAGGTCCATCCCCTCTGGATCAGGCAGTGGCTACATGAGCAAGTGGAAGCAGTGAAGGGGGCAGCAGAGCCAGGGGGCTGCCTGTCGACTGTGGGCCCCCGGCTGAAGCATGGGCCTCTGCAGGTCTTCAGCCATGCCAGCCTTTGATGCCAGCCATGCGTCTGTGTGCAGGATGCTGCACTCATGTCAAGCTCACTGTCACGTGGAGAGGAGTTTTCTCGGTCATTTTGCACTGGCCACAGGCAGATGATGTATTTCAGGGGTCCTCTGAGTAGTCAACCTGGTGCCCCCAGAATGTTTTGGGCTGCAGCTATCATAACCCTTGACTGCTGGCTATGCTGGATGCGGCTTACGTGAGTTGGAGGCCAAAACAGCTGGAGAAGGTCAGCTTTGTTTTGAAGGCATCTTTGCACTGCGAGTTGTTACGTCATCAGTGAAGACCTCTTAAAGTGTGTTCATGAAATGTCAAACATGAATGCAAGGAGTCATGCAGGTACACTGGTGGCAGAGCCCATGGCAACTCCTCACTGGCACATCTGGGTTTGCTCTGTGCGGAGCGTGCAAAAGCTCTGGCACACCCAACAGCTCATTCCTCACACAAGCCACAAAGAGCCTTGGGCAGATGAGGCTTTCTCTGCCTTGTAGAGACAGCAGCAAACTTTCCTGCACGGAAGTGAGGGAATGAACTGAGGCAGGAAACATCAGGCCCAGGAGCTGCATCCAGTCCTCTGCAGTCTCAGTCCAGGACTCTGGAGCCCCTCAGACGGCCACACACCCTTTCTTCCAGCCACCAGCTGTTCAGTGGCTTGTACCTGTTTCCTCATTCTAAAGGACTGAAAAGCTCAGTCACTGGCAGTAGGAGCTTTAAGCTACAGGTGCTGGTATTTTTGTGTCATTTAGCCCCACCCCTTTTGCTTTCGGCTTTGCTTGTGCACAGAGCAGGGCTCCCCACAGCTTCCCTGAAATGAACTTCAGCCCCCAGGATGCAAAAGGCCCCGCAGTCCTCATCTGAACCAATTTTGTAGGCTGGGCCAACCAGCTGAGAAAGTAGTATAACCTCAGGCTTGGTTCTGACCTTTCACTACCTCCATTTTCTGGAGTGCTATCAAAACACCTGCCCAGTTGGGTACACACCCGGTGCAGCAGCTATGTTCATTGTGCAGGGGCAGAAGTTAGCATGTCTTGGAAGTCAACCACCAGCTGAGTGAAGGGACCTTTGTTCCTTTGCATATCTAGGGAGATGAACTCTTCTGTGTCGGACCCCCCGGTAGCTACCAGCTCTCTCCCTGGGAGCAGCCGCGCTTGCCAAGCTATGAGAGTGTGCGGAAGAAGGATCGGCAGCGGGAGATCCACCAGATGATTGCCGAACGGTTTGGCTTATGGGCAGAGGTCTCCCCAGAGGTGAGTCTCCTGTTGAATGTGAAAATATCAGTAAATATTGACTGGTATCATAATTTAGGAGAATACTAAATAATGATACCAGTCGTTATTGAGCTGTATAAAATAGTCCTTTTCGTGAGTCCCTTATCTCCAGAGCATGCTTTAAACAACTCCTTATTGTGATATCCTGGGACTCTGCTGTATCTTTTCAACGGCTTTTTTATCTTGGAGGAAGGAACACAGTGTTCCAGGGGACTCCAGTGCTAAGCCACTTGTTTATATTCCTTCTGGTTAATGATTCATCCTGTATCTTCTGAAATAAGTAGCATTTCTGTCTTCCCCAAGAAGCCAAAGCAGATGGAATGGCAACCATGAAGCATGTGCTTGCCCATATATACCTTCCATGCATGCACTTTGCCCTGTCCCTGCCTGGCATGGCTTCATTCACATGGCATGTGGTGCCAGCCAGGATGCCTGTGCATGCAGGGCTTGCTCCCACAGGCACATGATTCATCTGTGGCCGTTCTCACATCTGTTTTGGCCCATGCAAGAGATCCAGGCCTGCAGAACCCGAAGGAATGGAGATACTTGGAAGGATTCCAGCTCTTCTTCCTTTTCTCATCCATAAGAAGAGCCACGCTGGACCATACAGAAGGTCCATCTAGTCCGGTGTGCCTTTCATGTGGTGGCCAGACAGCTGCCTGTGTGGAACCCACAAGCAGGGCATCTTGGCACGATGGCTCTGATCCTGGAGGCTGCACAGAAGCGTGAGACCAGGAGCCATCAATAGCCGCATCCTCCATGAATGTGTCTAGTCCCGTTTAAAGCCGCCCAAAGTGCTGGCCCTCAGCTTGTTGAGGAAATGTCATATTTTGAGTGAATGAAGCAGTGCTTCCTTCTGCCCATCTTGAATCTTCCACCATGCAGCTTCTTCTCTTGCCAGTCCTCCAGAAAGCTGTGACCCAGAGTTGACTTACTTGAAAGTGTACATTTTGTATGTTTTAATTGTATTATATATCAGCTTGGGTCTTTTTTTGACCCAAGGAAAGTAGCAACAATATGTTGGTGGTGGTGGTGGTGGAAGCCACATCAACCCACATTAAACACAGCATGCTGCCTTACACTGAAACAAGCCATTTATCCCGCTAGTCTGTATTCTGCCTGGCAGAGGCCCACCTGGCTACCTGCCGTCCTTTTAAGTAGAACCTGGGACTTTCAGCCTGTAAAGCATGGGCTCTTTCAGTAAGTGTATGTCCCCCTTCAAACTGCAAACATGCACTAAAGAGGAAATATGTGGCTGTCCTGATGTTGGAGTACAATACCTAGCAGCCCCATGCAGCATAGCCCAAAGCCCAAGATGATGGGAATTGGAGTGCGAAGGGCCCCAGGCTCCACTATTCTCATACAGTCTCCTAAATCCATTGCTCTGCTCACTTCTTTAGATACTTCTAACCCTCAACAGACTCTAAATTAGGAGGATACGCAGCACAACTAATAATGGTTTTACATTCAGGGTCCCCGGTGCTGACCAAAATGAATGGCACAAGACCCTCGCTTGCTTCTTTGCTTTTTAAATATAATTTTATCTTAGAATTTCAACAAAACAAAAAGAAGGGAAAATTGTAATCACATAGATTTGAATGTATCAATTTCAAGTGTATACATAAGAAATGTGTGTTTGGAATAGGAAAATACAGTTTTCTAAGAATGATCCATAAACTTGAAAAAAGTAGACCTAGTCTCCATTTGTATCCATCTGAGTGGTGACTGTGCCTTCCATTCAAATATTGAAAGCGTGATTAATCCACTGCATTATCCTCCCAATGTTGTAATATAAGTTTTTTAGGTATCAAAAGTGGCAGAGAATCTATTTGCACTGATCATGTGTTAATGAAATGAATATATAATAACTTCTAGGAAGCTAGTAAAGAGGATATGTACCTCAGTAAATAGTAACCCATGTTTCAATAAGTTTGTCCATATAATAACCTTTTTTCAAAAAGAAGCAACTGTTGGACATTGCCAAAATGCATGACTGAAAGAAACATTAGCTGTATTACACCTCCTGCAATTAGCCAATTTAGACAAACCCAGATTAAAGAGCTGTTGTGGCATCCAGTAGACATGAAACACATCAGTATAACTGATTTTCAGTAGACATGGAACAGACAGGTCAATATAACTGATTGGCCTCAATAAATGTTTCCAAATGGTGAAATGGACTCTGAAGGTGTAAAAGCAGAAGGGCCAAACTTAGATTTTAACAAATGTTGCAATTGCAGGTATTGCCACAGTTTAAAGCTATCACTTCAACTGCTAATCTAACTTTATCAGTCCCCTATGTTTAATATATCCCACGTGATCTTCTCCAGCCAATACTGGGCTCAGTTTCATTTGCATCCGAAATGTGGAACACTCCTAAGCCTGTATCTAAACCCATTTTTGGAGGCCTTACTAGTCTCTGTTGATTGAACTCAGTTGTAAATAGTATGATTAGGACGGCAATATAAACGGGACTTAAGGACTGACCCAAGACCTTTGGCTGCCTGAAGTAAAAGGGAACCAATTCTGTCTATGGAGGGCTAGCTGGACCTTGCAGCAACACTGCTGATGGAACAGTGCCCTCCACAACAGCAGGCTCTCCCGGGGGCATGCGGGGCACCAGTTCCATCACACCGCAGCTCTGCCTGCTTAACTCCCCACGGCTGCCCCCACCCACCCAGGGACCCAGCACCTGCCACTCCAGGCAACCCCTCACTCTGCCGAGGGATAGGGCTGGCCTGAGCATGGAGCCTGTTGGAATGCCACAAGTCTCAAGCAAGGAATCCCGGGGATTCTTCCGGGAAGAGTGTAGGAAACCGTATCAGAGACTGCTCAGCTGCCTCTTCAGCGGTTCTTTGAGGGATACGGTAAGAATCTGGCAATCCGGATGGGGCTGGTGTCACTGCCTCGCATTCTTGGCCATTGCCTGTGCCCCAAGGCTGCCAGCAGGGACCCTGGAATCCTCTTTAATGTTATTCTTCTGGCCTGACACTGAACTGACTTCTGAGTAAACATGGACATGATTGCGCTGCAAATCTTGAGACCACAATCCAAAAAATGTTTATGTTTTCAAATCCTGCTACTGGTTCCTCTACTGACCTTGAGCCTTACGTGTTTATCAAGGAGTAATAATGGCAGTTGAAGTCCTTAGTGCCACTCAGAATTTATGTGCCGCACATAAAGTGCTTTCTGAAGATAGTAGAGCTCGTGAAACAGCCCTTTATCTAGATAACGAGAGGCCTTTATCCAGGGTGGACAAGCAGTACGTGCTGGAATGAATGCCAGAGCCGGAGAGTCTCATGCCTGCCCCCCACCCTGCCATCTCCCGCTTCTCCCTGAGAGGTGTTGTCCATGGACTCTGAACCCTGAGAGTGGACTGTGGGAGGAAGGAAAGGGGTGGCTGAGGAGGCTGGTCGGGTTGGGATCCTTTGCCTGAGGGAAGGACAGGGGACTGCGGAAAAGGGGCTCCTTTGCTCCAGGATCAGGGAGAAATTTTCCCTTGGGCCAGGTAGACCAGGCAGTATTACAGAGCCCCAAATGGCATACGATTTCATGTTGTGTGTGGTCTGTAGACAGATTGCTAACCCACATCTGCTCATTGAATGGTCACCAACTTGTCATATTCCTACTGCAAAAAAAAAAAAAAAAAAATCGCACATGGCCTAGCTCAAGGCCAGTTTTTACCATGAGGGCAAGTATATGGTGGCCGGTTTGCAGGGAAAGCCATATGAGGTGAGGCTGAGGGAACTGGGTCTTTTCAGCCTGGAGAAGAGGAGACTCAGAGGGGATCTGTTGGCAACGTACATGTATGTGAGGGGGTGTCACATGGAGGTGCGTAGAGACCTGTTCTCCCCTGCAGGGGAAGGCAGGACACACTCCAACGGAGTCAAGCTCAGCGAACCAAGGTTCAATTGGGATGCCAGGAAGTACTTCCTGACAGTTAGGACCCCGAGGGTATGGAATGGGCTTCCATGGGAGGTGGTTGAGGCCCCATCGGTGAGGGTGTTCAAGGATAGGATGGACATGCACACGGTGGGCAGGTCATGAGCAGAGCTGGCTGGAGCCAGGGGTCAGACTAGATGGCCCGGAAGCCCCTTCTGACTTGTTCAGCTTCTATGTTTCTATGTATTTGCCTTGTGCTCTTTCTCTGCTATTTCATATTAAAATTATCCGTATGTCAAAAGTTAGTGTCTAGTGTTAGGGTACATTCTCTCCATGGGATGCTGGATATGAGTTATGAAGTCAGGGATCGCTGGTGGCATGTCCGGTTCTACCTCAGTGCTGTGGTTACCAAATGGTAAGGAGAGCAGAAGTTTCTTCACTTCATAGGAGGCATGCAGGAGAGGGAGCTTGGGCAGGTGCAGCTTTTCTTAACCCTGAATGACAGACTACCCACAATTCCCCCTGTGGCATAGCCCTGGAAAAAAACGCAGGAGTCCTGTCCTCCTTGCCTTGCCGCCATCTTATCCAGAGCAAGTGCCTGGTATAACCACCATCACCTTCTGCCTCATGTTCTAAGACCGTTGGAACCCTTGCTGCCCAGGAATTCTCTAATTTTAATGCAATAACACCCAGAAAAACAAGCAAAGGTTTGTAATGGTTTGCCAACAAGGGAACTCTCACAACAGGGCACCACAGCCAAGCCTTGCTTTGACAAGTCACACTTTTGTGTGCACATAAAACAATATTAGGTGTAACCTGCTGGCCTTTGAGCAGAGCCAAAGCCGGCTGCTGTCCTCATGCAGACCATCTATTTCTGAAAGGCCTCTGCTTTACCTCCAGTAAATGGGAGCAGCTTTGACCAGTTTCAAGTCGAATGCTTACACTTCTTAATCAGCCAGTTATCAGCCCTGAGCAAGAGCAAACATTTCTGTCTCCAGATGTGTGGACTACACACTTGTCACCTCTAGTCAGCATGGCTATGTAGTCCGACACAGCTGGAGAGCACCTGACTGGGGCTGGCTGGCTGAGGGAAAGCCCATTAGCAATTGAACCTTACAGTGAACGCACCTCATTGGAAGTGCGATTGCTTAAAAAAGAAGTGGGAACAAGTGGTGGGCTGGCAGCTTTTCCTATCTGAGATTTCTAGGATGTGAGGAGAGTGGGTGGGAGCTGAAAAAAGAGAGCTTCAGAGTGCTGGAGAGACGGAAAAGGTAGCTAAATTCTCGTGGAAGCAGTTCAGTGGTAGAATTGTGTTCCCAGTTGGGTGCCAAATATCCTCTTGTGGGAATACCACTACAAACCTTTGCAAACTTTCAATTTATTTATGGAATATGCCTATTTCCACTCTCCACCTCAAGTGCAAACACCCCTATGCAATCACATCTAAGAGAGGCATTACAACTGAAGTCAGAGTGCAGCAAAACTTGTACAGAATTAAAAGCCTGACAATGCAGAATGGACTTAACTGCCTCTCTGGAACAAAAGACCGAAGGAACGGATCACACCTTCCTCGGGAGAGAGCGCTACAATGGGAGTGCCGGTATCAGTGACACCGGCACCTGGCGGGATGGATCAACAGCCAGGATAGGGAGCCCCCCTGCCTGCTCCCCATGTTCAACCCAATGTTCACATAGGGCTGGGAGCCACTTTCATCCAAAGGGCTGGATTCAGTTTTGGGGCAGTCCTCTGGAGACCACATGCCAGCAGTGGGGAAGGGCAAAGGGAGCGGGCAAAGGCATGGGGCTGAAACAGGAATGCCAGTGCACCATAGCTTAAAGCTACAACTTCCAGTAAGCAAGCTGCAGCAGCAGCATTTCGGACTTTCAGAAGGGCGGACTGTGTGGAAAACCACCTGATGTTCCAGTGGGGGAAAGCAGCACGGCCATTGGGTGGTTCTACAGCCTGCCCTGGAACAGGACTGTTTAGGATTCATTTAGGAAGCAGTATCACCGGCTCATCTTTCTTTCCCCCCCACAGTTACCACCACCCTATGAGCAGGCCCTGAGGTATCCAGCAGCCTTATCAGGAACTGGCACAGGTTCGGAGCTGTCAGCTGGACAGAGCTTGCCGGACATGCTCCAAGCTTCACCCACATACCAGCCTCAGAGGAACACATCGGTGTAGGCCGCAAGCTGGTGCCTCAGCCCTTTTCTCCGACTGTGGCAGCTTTGGGGGCGAGGGTTTCCTTTCCTGCAGCCAGCCTGCCACACCCTCCCCCCACCCCCAAAGCCACAATAGCTGGGCAAAACCCTCCAGTGCCACCGCATGGCCGGACACAACCTTTCGTGAGTACTTCAGTACTGAGAATAGACACTGGACAATCTCCAGGCCTCTCAGGAACTAAGCCTGCAGAGAACTGCACGATGGAATGAATTTCCTGGGGACACTGGCGTCTCTTCTGAATTACCAGAGGCTGGAGGAGCAGCAGAGGTACAGGAAATCCTGTCACTCAGTGTCAAGGACTGAAGTTGAAGTCGGTTACCTCAGGGGGGTACCTTGTGGCCCCAGGAACTGATAAGTCGAGCAGCAACACTGCATGAGATTCCATCTGTTGCTCTGTGAATCACAAATCCAGTGAAAGAGCAAGATTTTTTCCCCAAAGAGCATCCCTGGAGGAAGCTGTTCCACTTAAAAAATACCTCTGTGAGACCTGCCAACTTTCTAAGTATTAAGCCTCAAATGCAAACCTTCTGGCCATCTTAAAACTATCTTCACAGGGCAGGGATTGAGGAACCCAAATGACAGAATGAATGTATTTTGCCCTCTCAGTGTTTCCTTCAGCCCACTCAGAGATGTACTCCTTGGACAAATACAGCGGGGGTCTTTTTCTTTCAAATGCTGCAGGGCAGCTTTGCAAGTCCAAACAAAAGATAAAAGGTCCAGCAAAGGGCAGGATCTGGAGCTTCTGCAAGCAACTCTTCTGCTCTTGGGAGTCCAAACAGCCTGTGGTTCTGGACCAAGCCATAAAACTGAGAAAGGGTTATTTGCAGAGACATGTGGGAGGGGAAGAAGGTGGCAGCCGCTATCTTACTTCACCGCCATCATTGCTTACTCAGCTTGATTGTCTGTTGGAGCTCAGAGACTCTCGTTAAGCTTCAACCTGATTTTTGCTATGTTGGGTTTTTTGTATTTGACAATAAGGTTTTCCAATGTTGTTCCTCATGCTGTGGTTTGAAACTAAAGCAATCTGATCAAGAAATGTGTGGGGCCTCCAGTACAACCTGCAGGCTACCAAACAATGTATTTTGTTTACCAGATTCCTGTTCTGTGAAATCGAGGACAGACATGTCTCCATGTCGTTAAATCCCAGCCTTGTCTTATTCAGTCCAATGTAGACATAACACTAGAGAATAGTTAACAATGGGAAAGCCGCTAGGGAATGCCTTCCCCCCTCACCCAGATTGCTGGCACCAACCGTGGCAACCATTAACCACGGTTAGGTACTAAGCCAGCATCTGCTGACTGCAGTTTCAAATCCTGCTTTGAGGGATTAGCTTTAACCAAGGTTTATTTAATCAATTAATACAACACTATAGTACAACACAACAAAACTCAGCAGCACTAACTGATTAACTTTGGTTAAAAAGCAGAAAGGAGAAGGGCCATGGCCAGGGAGTTCATGCTCGCAGGGCTGGCCTCCGGCATCTAAATATGGAACCGGAATTTTATCAGCTCGGGCTGAGACTCTTGATGTCATCCAGCCCTTGGACCAAATATGGCTCCTTGCCCCGGAGAAACCAGCATTTGTACCAAGCCTGGAGGCACACGGCATGCACACCCCCCCCCCCAAGACAATCCTGCACATGGAGACCTGCACGACTTGCCATGCAGCTACACTTGGCACACCCTGCTGCTTACTGTTTCCTTTTGCTGATCCGCTGAAAAGGAACCAGGGCTTTCAACGTGTACTTTTGGAACCAGCGGTTGCAGCTGGCTGCATCTCCCTTACACCAGCCTCCCCTTACCTGCTGGCTGGACTGCAGCTGCCAGCATTCCCAACTGTCGGCCATGCTGGCTGGGGCTGCTGAGAAGTGAGGCCGACACTGAAACACCTGGGGAGCGGCAGGCTGAGGAAACCTTGAAGCCGAAAGGCAGAGCTGACGGCCCAGAGCGAGTTTAAACCAAGTAAGAGCAAGTGATGAAAGCCATCCAATAGCACACGAAGCACGAGCGGCCCAAGTGTGGCACACGCAGGAGGACCGCGCAGGACCCCTGGATACGAGTGGGACGGTGCACAGGGCCGGCTGTGGAGCTGCGTCGGGCTAGGCTTCGACCGACTCCCTTGTGCTGTGCTGACCTCTGCTGTCCTGCTCGGTAAACCACTGAACACAAAAACCACAAATCCATACCAGGCATTGTGTTGCAGATATACTGTAACCAGCATTAGTGGCTCATACATGGGTAGGATTTGAGTTTTTGGAGTGCTAGACCAGCTGCCACTGCAGAAAAATTTCAGGGTAATGAACCAGAGAGAGAGCGAGCGAGCCAATGGGCCAGAGGCTGACAACAGCCTCCACTTCAGCTGCAAACACCACAAAAACATACCAGGTAAATATACCAAATATACACATGCAAAGTGCCTCTGCTGAATCTTCAGGCATCTCTCCTCCTGTACTGTAGCTCCCTCTACTGAGCAGGATCCAGCGACCCAGTGTTGCATTTGTAGGGGTTTGGAAGGGGTGCCATTTGGAGGATGAGACGAGGAAGGCCTCTTCTGCCAGCCCAGACCCACATGAGGATCCAACCCATCAAATGAGTTGCCAGGCTGAAGAGATAGTCACCTCCAGGCATGTTTCAGTGTAGTGTTTGGGGTTATTACTGATTATTTATGTGTGTGTTTTGCTTTGCTCATCAGACTTGCCTATTCAGCAGTAGGAAGCTCTGGATGATGCAACCAACAGCACTGAATGCATGCAGTTAAAAACATCTCCTGTATCCCGAGTCTGCAGCTGCCTGTTCTACATCCCACAAAGCCTCAACATTGTGGATGCCAGCAGGACAGAAGAAAGTGGGTGGGCACCTTCCATGCTGCCACTCCCACAGCTGTACCACCACACTTAACCCACACCTGGCATCCATGCGACAAGGTCTTTCTTCATCTGACACAGGGGACACCTCGCCTTGACTGCACAAAGAAGGCAATCGGGACCCTGTGTGTGTTCTGTACCCAGATCTATATAAATGGAAGGCAAGGAGAAATCATTGTACGCACATGCATAGATGCACAAACTGCTCTGTGAAATCATCCCAGAAGGCCTCTGACACTGTCCCACTCAGAAGGTGAAAACAAACCCATTTCTCCCACCCTGTTTGCAAACCCCATGCTACTAACCCCTGGGGAGTGAGCTGCATGACACGGATCCCTGGAAGTGAGAGATGCTTGCCCCTGCATTTTGGAAAACCAAATCAGACAATCTTTATTCAACTGGCAGTGCATTAGAAGTGCTCCAGAAGTTTATCGCTGTGAGATGGTGTGCGCTCCATGCATGTTCAACTTCCAAATGTCAGCCAGAAGCCAGTATCTAGACAAAAATCAAGCAAAAGTACAGCACCCTTGTTTGGGTCAGGGCTTAAGTCTGTCTGGGCAGTTCCTTGTCATCATCCTGGGAGGCACTAAAAGCCTCAGAGCATATCAACCAACTTGAAGCTCCCCACCTCCGTCGTGGGAACAACATTGATGAATGTTTTATATAGCACAGCTCCTCTGGGCAGGTGAGCGATCACCTCTCTGCTCTCCTTGCATCGGGGGGTCGGCACATAGACTTCCTTGGTGTATCGCACAATCCCATCTTCAAGTGCATACAGCCACTTGTTGCGGCCCATCCCTACCTGGTCCAGGCAAACAGGATCATGATTAGAAAAGAAAACAACTGGAGCAAAGGAAGCACGAGAGCCAAGAGCACCCGTGCGCCCTTTGGTCTCTTTGCACACAGAGTGCCAAGATGGCAATTCTCCGAAGAAGGCTTCTTTCGTAGAGTCGAGTCACATGCCGATCATGATAGTAGGAAGCATTGGCCACACAGTGTCAATCCTTCGGCAACATGTGAAACTCCTACCAAATAAGTTGTCTGGCTTCTCCCATCCATGTTTCCTGTCAAATAATTTCCCCATCTTGCTGGCCATTCCATACTATGAGGATAAATCCACCAAAGTATGCAGTGGTACCTCGGCTCACAAACGCCTCAGTTCATGACCAAATCAGGTCGTGAACAGAAATTTCATAAAAATTTTGCCACAGGTCACAAACTCTGCATTGGGTGACGATCGCAAGCGCGTCCACCTTCCCTGCATGGGCACGATTGCTGTCATGCTGCGGGGGGGGGGGGGAGATGGCCACGACTGCATCCGTGTTCCCTCCCAAGTCCACCCGTGCCTGCCTCCCCCCCCCCCACGCGCCCGTGTCCGCCAGAAGATGAAAGCTTTGACACAGATGGAGCAGGCAAAGTGTTACTTAAGCACTGCTGGGGAGAAAACATACATGAGCCCCTGGATGCCAACGAATCAGCCGCTGTGTTGCCAGTATGTTGCCAGCATGGACAAATTGTCCTAGAAAAAAGTTGGACAAAGTAACTAACATAGAAAAACTTCTGCATATGCAAATAAGCCGAACAGGAACTTAACAGGAATTGTTCAATATGGCAAGAAGTATCTTTCTACAGCATTCTTTCTAATGAAGTGCTACACATTATAGATCACATACGATCACACAAATAAAATAACAGAAAATGTCTAAAATGACAGGTCTGGGACTCAGGGCATTTCCCCCTGATCTCAGAAATGCAGACCTGGGTAGATCCACTTATTCTGTGCTGAAGGGCACTCCACACACGCCCAAAGGTATCATTTTCTTCACAAATTCTGGGACTAAGCCCTGGCTGAAGTTCTGGTTTTCTTAACATACAACTAAATTTAATACCCTCTTAACTCAGCTATTGCATAATAAGGAATTAGATGCAGGGTTGGCTTCTCAAGGTTTCAAAAGAGATCAAGGAAAAGGCCCAATTCCCATTACTCAGAATCCAGGTCAGAATAATTCAACGTAATATTTAACTTATGAATACAAAGTTTTGGGACTCCCAACTTAAGCAGCACAGTGGGGGGGAGGGCATTTTTTGGGACATGTTTCCTTTGTTTCTACAAACTAGGGTGGGGGAGCATAGCAGCTCTTCTAGTCCTTCAGCCCCTTCCGTTTCATTATTGTCACGAATAGGTTTTCTTCATTTTATTTTGCTTCTCAAGGCTTTCCCTAACCCTAAATTACATTCCAGAAAACAATGAAATAAAATACCATTACAGACTTTGGTCCACAAGAAGTAGGAAGAATCCTGTCCATGACTGGCTTGATCCTGCCACCTGCTGGTGACTTTCAGAACTGCTCATCATCTCTCTGCAGAGATGCTTATACAACCATGCCTCTGGCTAGCCCAGGAGTGGGCACTAAGCAGATCTCCAGGTGCTGTGGATTCCCACCATTCCTCACTCTTGGCCATGATGGCAGGGGCCTTCTGGTTGTTGAAGTTCAAAATTTCTGGAGACCAGCAAGATGACTGGACTGGCATCCAGACTGTTTGCTGTTTGTGACTGTTTGCAGTTACAAGAGAGCACGCGACTTACCATCTAATTTTTTGAAGCCATAACGTTTTCCAGGACTTTTCCCACCGTGATTTTTAGAGCTGCCTGAAGCTTTCTTTGATGCAAGCCTCACTGCGACTGCACTCAGTGGAGGAACTGTGTTCAAGTCAGAGAGAGAGAGAGAGAGAGAGAGGGCGGGGGGAGAAACTCTTCAAAACTGATAAAGGTTTCAACGGAGAAAGAAATCTCACACCGAACTATTAACACTCTTAAAGAGAGCTGGACAGTGCACTGGTGAAGAGCCTGAGATGTGATCCAGCAGTTCTTAACTGAAATCACAATTCATCCATGAGTTCTCTAGAAAATAGGCCCCAACAATGGCTGGCTTTAATATTTTGAGAGGAGGGTGGCTATGGCTTCTTTGCCGGAGATTCTTTGGTGGAAAGGAGGGTTTTTGTACTAGGCACAGTTTCACTTTGTTAGCCTACAGAAAAGTCCCCATCTTAACACTCTCCCCTTCTAAAGACTTAGGATTCCATCACACCCCTGAACTGGCAATGCTTGTTTCTCTCCCCACCTCTCCTACCTATCACACCTAATTCTAAGGCACCCCTCTGTAATACATGGTTAACTCAGTATTTTCTGACATTTATGGAGCAGCCCCATAAGTAACCCCATCTTTTTAGACTCTAAGCCATTCATGTGAGTGAATCTGGGAGACTCTTCATGGAAGAGCAAGACTGAAATGTATTGAATACATACAAGTATATAGAACACGTAGACAACCCCACAGCAATCTGTATTAACTAATGGTAAATGACTACTATGACATATTTCCATGCTCATAATCACTAACAGAAACTGAAATTGCTGCATAATGAGCCACAAATGTCTGCTCAAAGGACAAAAACCCACAGCTCCGTTCATTCCAACTATACCTAGCATCACATTTGTGGAAGTTGTAGTTAAAAAGGTGCGAAGATTCAAAAAATACACCTTTAATTATAAGCTCTAAAAGCATACAAGGACTATGGATCCTAAGCAACATGCATGCACACAGAGAGAAGTAAACACTGACATCACTGAGACCAAACTGTAAACAAAATAAGACTGAGCAGCAGTCTGTGAATTTCTATTTTAATATCATTGTACTTACACAGTCAGCATGGTAAAACTGTGGGATCTCAGCCATGTAGGGAAATTCTTTCATTGATTCAAGGGTAACTCAATTATGAGAGCAGGCTGACTTATTGTAGAAGCATTGTCTGGAAGCAGCTGCTATATTATCTTGGTCCTACTTTGACAGGCTGACAGTGGTCCGGACAACATTATCATCTACATGTGAACACCCCTTGTTGTTGTTGTTTAGCGAAGTCGCATCCAACCCATCACTACCCCATGGACAACATTCCACCATGCTCTCCTGTCCTCCATCTGGAGTCCACCTAAGCTCACACTGACTGCTTCAGTGAATCCATCTAGCCACCTCATCCTCTGCCGTCCCCTTCTTCTTTTGCCATCTATTGTTCCCAGCATTAGGCTCTTCTCCAGGGAGTCCTTCCTTCTCATTAGGTGGCCAAAGTATTTGAGTTTCATCTTCAGCATCTGGCCTTCTAAAGAGCAGTCAGGGTTGATCTCCTCTAGGACTGACCGGTTTGATCGCCTTGCGGTTCAAGGGACTCTCAGGAGTCTCCTCCAGCACCACAATTCAAAGGCCTCACTCCTTTGGCGCTCAGCCTTCCTTATGGTCCAGCTTTCACAGCCATACGTTGCAGTGTTCATTCAGTATTTTTGTCTTTTCCCTTACCATGGAAAATCCATTGAGAAGAAAATGGAACAAGTGCACCATGCCTTCTGATAGCTAATGATGGGAACCCTGCCTGCAAGCACCTGGGATTGCCCGATCATTGGCAACTGATCCACAAAGGTGTCTGGTCCTGACTCTTTAACCAGTAACAAATTAAGGCTGCCAGAGAAAAAATGCTTAGGTGGGGTAAAGTCAGGAGTAGATTTGTTCTGGTACTGAAAACAAATTCCAGTACTAAGTATGCATTCAGTCATCCACTCACAGTGAGCCACTTTTCCTGCACCTGGCTCCAAATGGTGGATCTCGGGGTTCTAGTAGAAAACAAAGTCGCTCTGGCAAGCCAGAAATCCGCCTATCCCTGATCTAAAGAAGCTGATGAAAAGCAACGATGGCCACACTGAGAAGGCCAAAGAAAAAGGCAAATCATCCGCAGTCGGGCAATAAATTTGGTTATTTCTGCTATTTACATATTGCTAGATAAGATAAAATCCCAAAGTGGTCTTTTTGGACCAACCAAAATTCACGAAACAGTTAGCCAGCCTTGGAATTCTCCAGAATGGTTCATCAAGCTGGACATTAAGTAACACAAAGGAGGAAGAGCAGGACAGAAGGAAAAGTCGCACTGACTGCAGCATGGCGCGCCTTTCTAGGAGTAAGTTCCATTTAACTCACCAGGACTTACTATCGAATACAATATACCTTGGAACGGGCCAGTAGCCGCTGTAGGGCCAAAACCGACCTTACTTTAAATGTGTGCCCAGCAAGCCTTCTTTTCACCGTCATTTTCACGCCAGATTAGGGTCAGGGCCACCGATCCGGATCGTGAACGCCCCCTACACCCACCCTCCACGGTAGGATCCCAATCCAACCAGGAGCCCAACGCCTAGAGTAAAAACGAACACAAGAAACAGACGCACGGAGTGCTAGACGCACATTTAAAGCAACGGCGTCTCTTCTGGCGCCAAGAGCGGACACACACGCGGCTGCAGCTGTTCCGGCGTCGTTACCCGGGAGCAGAGGCGACTGCAAGTCGTTCCCGCACCGTCCTTCCCTCCCGCCACCCGCGAGGCTTCCCCTCCCGTTCCCCAGGCCCGACCGCCCGCCCCAGCGACACCAACGCACCTTGCCTGCTGGCCGCCGAGGTCAAGGGCAGCAGCGCCCCGCACAGCAGCGCCGCCGCCATTGCCCTTCCCTGCGCCGCCTCTGCGAGCCAGCCCGTTGTTCCGCCTGCGCCAGGCTTCCGGATCCGGGGAGTGCGGCGCGGAGCGGCGGATTCGAATGAGCCGCGGCTCCGGATTCATTCCTAGCCGAGGAGGAGGAGCAGGAGGAGGGCGGCGGCGGCGGCGGCGGGTCGGTCTGGCTGTCTGTCGGGGCAGAAACGAGCGAAAACGATGCTGGGTGGGGGTGATCAGGCAGAGAGATTCGCGCAGCACAGATCCGTGCTAAATGATTGCTACGCGGAGAGCTGGCGGCGCTGGCTCCCGCCTGCCTACCCGCCTGAAACCTGCCCGTGTCGAGGGCATCTTGATCTTTACGTATTGTCGAGCAGCTTGCCGGGAGCAGGTGGTGGGGAAGGGGAAGGGGAAGGCATGCTCTGCGAGGTCAGAGGCAGTCTCTTTTGCTTTTTTCACGTTCCTGGGCTCGAGGTTCTGGGGATGAGACCCGATGAGCGCTGTCATAAATGTAAGTTCGTGAATGCAGGCCCCCTGTGGGTGCTTAGGCAGAAAAAAAGGACCCGCGACTCCCAGCACTCTTCAGCTGGGCGATGCTGGCAGTTGCAGGATCTTTTCCTGCCTAAGCATGCATAGGATTGCAGTCTAAGGCCACAATTCTGTAACCGTTTTCCCCTATTGAACTCAGTGGGAGTTATTGCCGAGTTGGCGTACAAAATGTTGTGCTGTAGATCTTGAGTGTTAAAACTTACCCACCGCCGCCCTCTGGCGAGCTGGGTCCTTTGCAGGTTTGGTTTGGTTTGACCAGCATTTGAGTTGGTACACGAAGTCACTGGTAAGTTCACCTCAAAATCAGGGGTGGGCCTGGCCCCTAATTTTATGAGATAGGCTTGAAAATCAGAGTGCATTAACTGAAACCCAGAACTTGCTGTGTGTGTCATCTGAGGTCACTTGAGATTCCAGGTAAATCTTTCCCAAAAGAAATGGGCATTCCATGATATGTGGCAGTTGTCCAATATGCAACACAACACACTTTCTGTTTCAGGACAACATCTTTTTAGATCAGAGGTCCCTTCCCTCCAGATATTTTGGCTTACAACTAGTCCCCGCTCAGCCATGGAGCCAACTGGGTGACTTTGGGCCAGTCACAAACTCTCAGCCCAACCTACCTCACAGGGTTGTTGTTGTGGGAATAAGATGGAGGAGGAGATGTAAGCTGCCTTGAGCCCTTTGTAGGAAAAAGGCAGGATATAAATTGAAAAATAAATAAAATAAATAAATAATTTGTCCCTCACCATTGGCTGTGCTGGTTGAGACTAATAGAAGCTCACAGCTTCAGAGAATTTATTTTATTTATTATATTTCTACAGTGCCCATCAGCCCAGAGGCTGCCTGGCTCACAAAAACTTACCCTAAAAGGAGACTTATAGATTATTTAAATAAATAATGAAACAAATAAGATTCTGTTGTGAGTTTTTGGGGCAGTGGTGGCTGATGAAGACTGAGGAGGCGGAGGGTATAAAACGTTCCTTCTTAAAGGATCCTTTTCAAAGTGGGTGCTCTGCAGATGCACTGGACTACAACTTCCCCCATCCACAGCTATTTATCCTCATTTGAACTATCTATCAACCAGGACCAGATAGCATCATTTATTTGGTCTGGGCGGCGGGGCAGATTATCCCTTACCCACCTCTGGGATGTCTGCATTTCCTTGCTCTTCCTGGTGATAAACAGACCATTTAAGGATGGAAAAACACCCACTTGGCTGTTTCAGCTAGACCCAGGGTGGGCAACCTAATGCCCCCAGCCTGACTCCATGTGGTCTTCTCCAAGCGTTTTGCAGTTTAGACCACTTGCAACAGCAGTCTGTCCCTTCTGGGGAGGGGAGAAAGAAAGAGGGAGAAATGAGAGAAGGGGATACTAGAGAGAAGGGGCAAGAAGGAAGTGTGTGGCAGAAAGAGAGAAAAAAGGGGTGCCTTCTCCCATTTTGGGAATCGGTTCCACCTACAGCTGGATCCAGTCCCACTTATCATCAGCAATGATTGCTCTAGAGATATCTGTGAAATTTGTTTCAGTTCATTTTGGTCAGGATTTACCCACTTGATGCTTTCTGAGCCAAAGATGAACTCACATGCAATCCATGCATTTCTGAGCTTACCGTGCGTTTTCCTGAACAAAAAAGAAAAAGAAAATACATTTGACAGCATGTTTACATTTAAAAATGCACATAAAACAAATGCATCCTTTTGAAAAAAATGTGCATAACTATGCTTTAATCAATGGGGAAGAATGCATACATTTGGAAAATTACTCATGAAAATGTACCATGTTAGCAAATTGGATGCAGACTCAAGTTGGAATCCACTTTGAGTTGGAATTAGGAGAACATTGGTGACCTCCAGTTTTGTTGATTCACACAAAACCCCCTGACAGAATTTGACCTTTGGGGGTGGGGGGAAGGTTCCCTCCACAAAACCAGCCTGTTCTGCTTCCTTTTCTTAGATGTGACCCAGTTCCAGAGGCCCTGATCCTTGCGTGAGGCTGAGCATCATGTTCCCAGAGAGCGATGGCGAAGAGCTCCCTTGCTTTCATTTCCTAACCAAGCAACTTCCAGGCCAGGAAAACCCTGCCCAACCTCCTCTAGAGGACAGTGTGGTTATGCTCAGCAGCTCAGATGCCGAGGATTCATCAGCTTCCTCGCCTGTGTGGAAAAAGTCCTGTCTTGCCAAGGATTTCTCCAGACCTGCCCCTGCCGTCCAAGTGATCGCTCTGCAGAGCAGCGAGAGTGAGGAGGATGAGCCTCTAATCCCCTTGGCTGAGAGGCTCAAGAGAAAGTTCTTGGTTGCCAGTTGCTCCACAGTTGGCACCTCTTTTACTAAGATCCAAGAACAGAGCAACCAAGACTCGGGTTCTTCCAATGACAAGCAAGAGGTCGCTGGCTGCGGGCAGCAGTCACTTCCCAGAGGCCTGGGCACCCAGGCAAGAGCTGCCCCCCGGTCTTGGGAAGTGTCAGACAGTGACTCAGAAATGGCTGCACTTGATCACAGAAAGCAACCTTTGCTGCAGCCTCTGAAGCATGTGTCTGAGTGTCTGGTGCAAAATAACAGCCATCATCAGGGCACAGAGATAAATCTGAAGCACTTGCCCCTTCAGGCAAATACAAAACGTAGCCAGGAGGAACTTGACAAAGCCCGCCAGGCTGCATTGCAGAGGAAGAAAGAGCGAGAAGCTCGGAAGGTGCTGCAGGAGCGGGAAAGGGAGCGGAAGAAGGCCCTCGCCAACCTGCGGAAAGCCCAGAGACCAGATCAGTGTCTGAAGCACATTCAAGTAGTGCTTGATCCAGGTATTGCCCCCTCCGTCCCTGGGGTTCATTCTGCCTCCACTCCAGAGAGACCCCTGACCTCTGTCTCTGCCACAGGTCTCTTGCAGGTTGAAGGGGGAGGGCAGCTGCTGGCCATTCTGCAGTCCATGGAATGCAGCTGTGTGATTGCGAACCAAGCGGTTCCCCGCAGCATCACCTGGAGAAGGAAAGCTGGGCTAGCTCAGGTATGCAAGCATATTTCTGAAAGGCTTCCTCTCTTCATTGTATTGCTAGCACTGAGCTTATAGTGGCAACTTGATGATGAGACATCCGTGTGGTGCCATGGTTGTCCTAAATAACCAATAGCGTGGCCTTAAAAAGAAAGAGAAAGTCTATTACATGCATCAAATGGTGCATCCGGTAACATTCTCCATGGTATATTCAAAGAGTTAACTGTTCCCCTCCCCACCCAATTGTTAGAGCCTCAAGCAATGTTCAGTTTTGATGTCAAAGAACAGATCTTGAGATCTGTTGCAGTATTTAGTAAATGTGACAGAAGATTCCTTTTGGAATCCTTCTGGCAGCTGCAGAGCAGTGAGCTTCCTGACCCTGGCTTTTAGTAGCTAGTGGGAAAGCTCTGGAGCCTCACCATCTCTTGACATTCCCATATTGTTGACCAAAACCTTAATGGCACCAAAAAAAAAAAAAAAAGGATAAAGAGATGGCAGCGAAGCTGAATGGTGGAAATCTGGACAGGCAAAAAAAAAAAGTTTGTTTTTTTAAATGGAGTGTACTTGACTCATGAAATTCACTGCTGCGAGAGATGGGTATTTGGCTGCTTATTTGGACAGCTTTAAAAAGAGTTTAGAGAGATTCATGGAAGAGAAGATTATCAATTGATAACAATCATGATGGATCTATACTAACCCTGGAGGCAGTATAGATTCCTCTTGGTGTGAATTGCAGGGGAACATGACTGGGAGAGGGCTACTCCACCAGGTCCTGCTTATGAGCCTCCCAGGGGCGTCTGGTTGGCTACCGTGGGAAGAGAATGCTGGACCAGATAGGCCATTCAAGCCATTCCAGATTTCATGCCAAAATGTTGCATGTTCTGCAGTCATCTCATTGGGCATCATTTGAAGGCCTGCTCTGTTTCATCCGATTAGGGAAACAACCAAACTTTGATGAGTTAGTTCAACAAAAAGTTGACTCAGTTTGCTTGCCATATAATCTACTTGAAAATGTTGGCTTCTCTTCCCCTTCGATTATGGAACATTTATATTTTTTATTAACTATAGTTATTGTCCTTGCATTCCTCTCCCTCCTGACTTCAATTTATGTTTGTCTCTAAAGGCTGACGAAGACAGCTTGACAGAAGAACCTAATATTCTAGTTGTAATGATGCTAGAAGAGTTTGTTGCCATGATTCGTAACTACAAGCAGGTGAGGTCATTTACACCATGGTGTTAGCCAGTAGTTGCTGCCTAATAGCTTGAGACAAAAAAAGACATCGCATTTTAAAGTACGATTAGTGTCCCATTTTTGCTTGTGTTGTTGTTTTTAAAGGCCAAATGTTAGTGTTTAGTAAGGTGGCCAGCATATGGTGAATCCTGTATATATGATTGCATAAAGCGACTCACATATAACACAAGGTCGCTACTTGGGGCTGTTTTTCTGGTGTTGGTCATATAAGATGACTCTACAATTTTTGCTATGCTATTTTTAGTTTTGAGGGTTGTCTTTTATACCAATATATACAGTACTTTGTTTAATACTGGAAGAGGAGATGAACCTGAAACTTCAGCCTAGATGTGGTTTTGCTTGAGAGATAATGGGAACTCTTCGCAACTGGATGGAGGACTTGAATTTTTCCTTTGGCCCAAAAAGATACAGTTTCTCTCTTTCTTTTCCCTGGTGTTTGACCTTTTATTTCCAGATTAGCATGGAAGGACCTACTGAGACTTTGCAGAGTTTTGTGACTACCGTTATGAAGAGAGTCCCTGGGAAAACGATAGCACTGGCCACAGTAGAACTAGAAAAATATTTCAGGTTAGAATTGATTTTTCACTGATGAGATTTTTGGACCACCCCCCCCGCCCCCCGCCTGCCAAAAAAAGATAGGCCTGGCAGTAGGTCAACTGACTCAAGGATAGATAGTCTCTGCTCCTGGCAGCCTCGTCCAAAGTATTTGCTGCCTGGGGTAAAAGATGACACCGCTCTCCAGTTCCACATGCAGGATCGTATATCGTTGCTGGCAATAATGCTGCATCCTCTCACGACGGGTTCGGAGTAGGCGATGCTCCCGGGTGCCCTCAGGCACTGTGCCACCAAAGCTCCTCCCCACCGCTTTTACTGCTCGCCACTCACAGTGCCTGGGCCCCGCTGCCAGTCCCTCTTTCGTGGGAGTGGCCCCATATACAGGCTACGAAGTAATTCTTTCCCACCTCAGTTCTCACAAACAGAAGTCACAGAAGAAGCTGCCGCAAGCCACGCAGAGTGCCTGCAAGGTACAGGAACCAGGCAAGCAGCGAGGGAAAGCCGGTTCTGTCCCAGAAATATCCAGAGCGGACGTGGAAGAAGTGAGTGAGCCTGGAGCAGCATCTGTGGTGATGGTGTTCTCCCCGCTGCCTCAGCCTGAATTAAGATCCTTTCTTGGGAGGAATGTCGTCAGGAACTCACACCCCTCAAAGCGGGCTGACGGGAACCGCCGCAGGGCCCGCTCCTACAAAGGCGAGGGGACTGTTGGGAGGAGCACATGGAATGCAGATCGTGAGAAAGAGAGTAGAATGAATTGGAGGCCGGAGAGAGACGGGAGAGCAGCTGCTAAGGAGAAAAGGAAGGGAAAGCCGAGCGGGAAGAAGTTGCTGGCCAACCTTCAGCCAGTGGAGAAAAGTGAAGCTCAACGGCAGACTGAAAAGCAGCTGGCACTGGTCTAACAGTAGCTAAGTGTGCATCATAATTAACCATGCTTTAGGGTTTGCGCTGTATGTGTGCACAGTTCCGATTTCCTTCTTTTTTAAAGCACTGGTTCTTGTTCTGAGAAGGTGAGAGAGGTTCCCAACCTTCTGGTCCCATCAGAAACATTGTGCTTGTTGTTTAAACTGTAGTCCTGCAAAAAGCCCTGTGTGCCTTGCAGTGCAATGACCTAAGGCGGGGGTTACCATAGCAGGAACAGCTCCTTTCTGCCGGGTTCAGTGAAGGCCTTGTACATCGAGGCATCCAGACGAGCAAGGGTCAGGTTTGACGTGCGTTGCCCACCTTTGCGCCTCCCGTGCTGTGTCTGTTGTGAGGGAAATGGCTGACGCAGCACTCCTGCACGAAATCGGCCCGCAGTGCTTCGGGTAGCAGTAGCAGCATCTCATTCCACAGTGGGCTCCCTCCCTCACGCCCAGCTCTGCCTTTCTAGGCCTTGGTGAGCCTGCAGCTTCACACCGGTGTTCAAGTTCGAGTTCTTGAGAGCTGGAAAGAGCTTGGCGACTTCATCTGCATGTTCACCAAGGCTGTGGCTGAAGCACCGTTCAAGTAAGTGAGCAAATCAGATGGAACTTTCTGGGAGGGCTTTTGGGGTCCTCTTAGCACCTTCTCTTTGAGAAACTTTGCTGAATATGCAGTCCCTAAAGCTTTCCAGGCCAGCATCTGGAATCTAAAATACTTCAATCTAAAACGTTGAAGGGGAGACCAATGCGCTTTCCCAGGCTGGGTCTGAGCGGCACTAAGGTAAGGTACAGTAGGGAGGGAATCACAGTTGGCTCCTGCAATTTTCTACTGCCTTATTTCAGGTAGGAAGCATTTGTGGATTCCTTCCAGGGGAGATGGGATAGCACTCCAAGTTCTTGAAAGGTTGTCACACAGAGGAAGGCCAGGATCTTGATCATCCCAGAGTACAAGGCATGGAATAATGGGCTCAAGGTACAGGAAGCCAGATTCCTCCTGATCATCAGGAAGAACTGGTGTAGACCAGTACGGCAATGGAACCAACCCCCTAGGGGGGCCCTCCTACTCTGGCCTGTCCCACTCTGGACAGCCATCAGAGAGGGAAGGTGTAACCTGGAGTCCTGCACTGAGCAGGGGTCGGACCCAGTGGCCCTCTGGCCCCTTCCAACTCTACCACCCCATGATCCTATGACTGAACCTCTCCTGCAAGCACCTGACACATTCCCCATCCCATCCCATCCCATCCACAGTAGGTCCTCTTCCACTGGCTGCTGCAATTCACTCGCATTTCACTCCACCTACCGTCTTTCCTAAGCTGCTACTCCTTCTTTGGACCACTTTCCTTTTACACAAAAGAGAGGTCCTGGCATTTCCACTACGGATGGGCAGTGTCTTAGCTGCAGTATCTGAACTGTGTTTATGGCGATCATTTGGGGGCCATTGGATAAGGCTTCCTGTGTGCATTTAGAGCACTTCTAGGGCATGCATGTGCCCTTCAGAAGCTTGAGAAAAGGCGTGCCTTTGCCTGTGGCAATATCACGGTCACCCATCTTCCGCTGTGAAACCGATGAAATGGTTTGTCTCCTTGAATCAGATTGGACATTCAGCCTGGACATTTTCTGATGTTGCATCACTCTTCGTGCTTTCTGCAGGGCCCAGTGGATGCTTTTGGTACAGAGAAGCCCACACAGACTGGGTGCAATGAGTTTCTTACTTCAGTCTGTTGTTTCTCCCATGCATCATTTACAGAAGGGAACGCGATAAAACCGGCTTCTCCTTCTGCCTAGAGGGAGACTGGAGTGCAGGGACGAAGGTGGAACGCTCTGGAAAGGGGCTGCTGCAGGTTTGGAAAAGGCAGATTCAGCAGTTCAACCGGGTCAGTCTGGATATGGCCAATGCTATTGTGGCCCAATACCCCTCTCCTCTGCTTCTGATGGAGGTAAGTTATTTTTTTGCCACAGTGCTGTGCACCTGCATGTGCGCATGCATGTACATGAGTAAAATATAAGCTATATATTTTATATATAATTGCACACACAGAGCAGGAAGACAGAATCTGACATTTGATGCTGGAATTCTCAGATTCTCTGTGAAAACCTACCCAAAAAGCCTTTCTTCCACATAGGAAACTTAAATGCTAGAAAATCAAATTTACTAATGCAGGTTTGCTTATTACAACTACTTTATCCTATATCCAGATTACCTGTAGTCCTCAAACATGGATACCAAAAATAATGTGATGTTGGAAGATGCTTTTATATAATGCAGTTTAATCTGATGTATGTTTAGTGAGAAGTAAGCCTTGCTCTGTTTAATGGGTTTTACTCCCAGGTAAGTGTGCAGAGGATTGTGGCCTAAATGGAAACATGCCCTCCTCAATTGCTCCCATATATACTTTCAATAATTCATATATACTTTTGGTTAATGCTTTTGCAACTTCATATAGAAACCCAATGAAGCAGGAAAATACAGCTGCTTCTGAGCTAGGAGTAAAAACTGGTTCTTTACTTCAGTCCCTAATCCGCCAGCTAGTGACCAACATGTAATATGCATTCTAGTTTTCACAAAGGACATCAGTACAATCTCATTGTAAATTTGGGTGTGTCTTTGAAGTATATTCAAACACTTCACGCTGCCATCGAGGTACCTAACACTTTAGAGAGGTTTCCACACCTTGTGTAAGTTCACCGCTCCACCTAGTCTGCCGTCCTCCTGTGCTATAAAAAGGTCCCTTCAGTCCTTGTCTGCGCCATATTTTTCAAGCTACAAAGATTCCACAGTATCGCTGTGTATTCTGCCACTGGAACTGCTCACGTTGCTGGGAAGGTGTTCCTAATTCTGAGTCAACATGCTGCCTTCTATGTCTAATTCTCTGAAATACTACCACATTTTCTCGACTATAAGACACCCCCATGTATAGGATGCCCCCCACTTTTCTTACCGATCTCTGGGCGAGTAAGCTGCTGCTGCACATGCGTGCACCCGCCACCTTCCCACCTCCCCACACACATGCACCCCACCAGTCTCCCCCAGCACGCACGCACCTGCGCCCACCTCCCCACGATCGCGCCAGTCTCCCCCGCCAGCACGCCCACGGTTCTCCTTTCTGCCCCCCCATGTATAAGACACCCCTCCATTTTTAGGTAACTATTTTTAAGAAAAAGTATTGTCTTATACATGGAAAAATACAGTACTTTGAGTTTCATTAGCTGTCTGCCTAGCTCTCCAGTTTGCTTCAAACATTCGTAGTCCTCCAAGGGTTTTCTTTTCAATCACTAAGCAATGGAACTGCTTAGTCGTTTATATGTGAGGTTGGGATAGCCAGTTATCCTAGAGTACTTTCACTGTTATACCCAATTTTTAGTAACATTATTCCTGTTTTATTTAGGCCTATAATACCCACTCTTCTGAACAGGAGCGACACAACCTTCTCGCAGAGATACCTGTGCGTCGTGGTGATGGTGTGACGGCCACTACAAGGCGGGTTGGTCCAGACCTCTCCAAGCGGGTTTATCTGCAGATGACTTCCTGCAATCCTGACCTTTCCCTGGATGTTACTGGATGACTCCTTAAAGAGATTTAAGTAGAAATACTCTCCCAACAACGTGTGAGGGGGAGCACAGAGGTACATTAAGCCGGAGTTTTTTAAAATGTGTAACTGCTCGAATCAGAGGAAATACTTCTTCCCTACAGAAATTCTTGTAATCACAAGTATTTCTTGAGCAAAGAGAAACTGTTAAGCAAAGTGGTTCTGAAAAGCTGTTTAAAAGAGCAATTGCCAACGTGAATACAATTATTCACTGTTTATGTATGCTAAGAAAATGGTCTAACAGGACTGTTGTGATACATAACTTAAAGTCAATCTGACAATCTTAACCACTTCAGCTTGAATATTGGAGCTGGCTGTGTGTCTGCACAGAAGCGGGATATTCTTTTGCCCTACATCTCATAAATCCTCAATCATTGTGTACTCTCCATTAAGAGCCTCACAAGCTGTATTTGACCAAAAGCATGTGCATACATCAAGCCACAATCAGCTATGTACTTAAAGCATTTAATAAACATTTTCTACAGAAAAGAAACTTTGAGTTATACTTCCATTACCCTCAGCTGTTGAAAGGTCTCCTCCTATTCCTCCAGATGCTGCCAGGTACGGTTAGAACTGCCTTGTAGAACACAGATGAGATAGCATTTCTCCATGATGCGTGTGGCACAGTTCCCCACTCCCCATGCCTTATCGGAGCTAAGCCCCATTGAAGGAATCCTACATTATTTCCGTCTACCTCTTCCTCCACCTTCCTCCACTGTTGCTCCTGTGATGAATTCTAGGGTGCACTCTTGTCAAGGCAGGGTCCTGTTCTCTGTGAAGCATCATGCCCCTTGATGGCTGGGGGTTGGAGGGCTTTTTCTGAAGACTTTAAGGCAGGTGGAGGTAGGTGTTCATCACCCGGTGATTCAAGTATTACCATTTCAGTTTCAGGCATACCCTTCTAATCTTGTCTGTGCCGACTGTGAGTGATGGAAAGAGCAATCCAGCACATCTGGATCGCAGCACCTTTGGAAAGGCTGCGTTAGACACTTTCCTGAGTCTCTGGCCAATTCACACGGTCTCTGCTGTCTCACCCTGGTAAGGCTGCTTAGGACTACCGCCTATGGTAGAGGTAGCATATTTACATAAAGCAGACTCTTGTCCTTCCGAAAGGACACCTGAGCATAAAAGTAGCCGGTGGAAGCTGTGTGTCTTGACAAAGCATGTGGACAAGGGCAGGGAAAAGGCAAATTTGTTCCCACTCTGGGCAAACAAGCAAACACAGAAAAGCAACACTGAGCAGATAACTTTCTCAAGTAGCCCACACTTAAGAATAATGTCACAGTTCAGGAATGTGCAAGGTCAAGTACAGTACAACAAGGAAGACTGTATGGGCACAAGAACACCACTCCTCCCTGTTTGCTGCTGAGCAATTCAAAAGGTAAAAATACATTCCTTGCTTTTAAAATTACGTAGTTAATCAAATGTGTTGCTTGTGAACTCTTGGAGGCAGAGCCTTCCAATACATCTTTGGCTGTCAAACAACAAAGATCCAAGAAGAAAGATACAGCAAAGAATCAGGTTTTAGCAGATGTGTGTGTGTATACTGATATGCATTGTCCCAACAGTGTGGACTGGTAGGTACATTTTCGTCTGCAGATCAAACATTCAGCTGCTAAGAAATTACATACATGTAACATTAGCCAGCACATAATCAACTTCACTCTCTACTATATGAACAATTTAGCTGTAGTGCTTGTCCCCAGGAGAAGCATGTATTTGCTATAGCAGTAACATGCAGAGACTACATATACAAAAACTTCTTCACAATGACGTCTCTTGTCATAGCAAGGCTTCTGTTAAGGGTAGGAGCTTTCCTTACTCCTCTACAGACCTACAGCCTGATTTTGGCAGCTTGGAAAAGCTCTGCTAGGGCAGAAAGAAATGGCAACACACTCTTTAGCATAGGAACCACACTGAGGAGGCAACTGTGAAGTAAGCCACCAAACCCAGGACTGAATGAACGGAAGCAATTTTCTCCGGAGCTCAATTCCATAGGAATTCTGGCTGTGATGCAAAAGCAGGAGGTATGAGGAAGCATCCTTGAGGGCTAAGAAGAAGTTACTGCTGAGAGTTTGGCTGCAGTATGTTCTGAAGGATCTCACGGCTTTGCAAAAGGGTTAATGCATCTTCATAGAGCATGTTCACACTGGTGCACACAGGCTGATGCTGCAGCTCCGTAACCTTGCAAACAGCCAACGTACTCAGAGCACCCAGCAGCAGGAGCAGCAGCATCTTCAACAGGACTCGGGACCAGGAGCGTTTGTGTTGCGGTGGGTGGGACGGATGGGAAGCAGAGAGCTCTGCAAAAAATTAAACACGGACAAGAAGTTCCTTTCATCGTGATCCCATGCTGAGCGGCCTTGACTAACTCCTACTCAAGCAGCTCTATAACTTTAGAATCCACTACAGATGCATACTGAACCCTCAGTAACAGGAAAGCAACTTGTAGTTATTTAACTGATGCCAAACATGGCTCTCAGATTCAGATCTCCCCTGGCTAAGTACTAATCAGGGGACCTTATTTTGCTTGTAAGGCTATATAGGATCAGGTCACACAATGGCTTCAGTCTGGTATACATTTTTCCTAATTCCAGGGCCATGGTTAAAGACCCTGATCTGGCCATCCCATCCCTCCGCCTTTATACCCTCTATTAAGTGGAACCCGAACCACAAAGGTTTCTATAGGGGCTAGAGGGGACGTGCAAGGTTGGACATCTCTGGACCTCCAGCAACTTCATGCCAGGGACACAGGGTGTTGAGAAACATGTATAATTACATCTTTCAACAGGAATACCAGGGAGAAAGTCTCATCCCTGTATCAGGGAAAAGAAATTTGCAGAAGATACGCGGGGGGGAGGGGTGTTGCTCCCCTCACAAACCCAATGCACTTTCCCCCCTTTGTTTTTGTTCTGTCTTGTTTAACTTACTTGGATTCTCACCCATTTCTTTCTTTGACTGTGCTGTCATTCCCTGTTTTGCAACTCTCAGGGCATCATATTCCCGCCTCCGGCGTTCTTTTTCTTCAGCCTTCTCCCGCTTCCGCAGTTCTCTCTCCTGGGCTTCTCTTGCTTGGCGCTCTGCTTCTCGCTTCTTCTCCAGTTCTGAGGATCAGCACAAACAGAAATTTTCATTCACTTTAGAAAGCACTCCTGTCCCATCCTTGTCTCTGACGAAGAGGAGACTCCTGTTGCCACGTCGATACCAGAGAATGGTTGTTGCACTGGCAAAGTACTTAGAATTATAATAAAGTACTTAGTTATAAGGAATCGTCTTTTCTGTCTAGCACTGTGATGGCTGCCTACAGGGCAGCTGAAATTAATACTGCTGAACTGAATGATCACTCATACGTCGAGGATATTAAATAAGCTGTTGCCTGGATGTTTACTGACCAGAAAAACAACATCTTAAATCCATTGCCTAGTGCAAGAACAAGAGAAAGCCATGGTTATTAACCAGTTCTTTCACAACAAATCAGCTTTCAATAAAAAATTCTCATATGCTCTGTGATTAATAAATCATTTGTTCCAAATGACTAATACTGCATCTTATGTATTTTACAAGCAGAAAACACTGAAATGTCTTAGATCATGTGACAAAATGCACTGAGGGTTATTTAAATGTATTTAAATGTTTTATACAACCATATAATTAAATGGGAATATGAACCAGTTAAGCAATTCTGTGAATAACTTCAGAATCTTCAAGTTGGCAACCCAGCTCCAGCTCCTCATGGACAGGGATAGTCTGGCCGTAACGATCCATGAGCTGGTTGTGTTAGGACTGGGCCACTGCAACATACTTTACATGGGACTGGCAACAAGGTCGGTCTGGAAGCCGCAGCTAACACAAAACGCTAAAGCAAGACTGCTAAGTGAGACAGACAGCCAGGAACATATGCCACTTCCGAAGGAGTCGCATTGGTTGCCAATAAGCAACTGAGCTAAGCCATAATACCTGATGGAACGGCTTCTCCCTCAAGTGCTTGCCTGGATATTAAGAACTGGGGAGAGGCCCTCCTGATGGGGTTGCAGTTGCTGGAGGTCTCAAATGCAGCAAACCAAGGGAGGGTATTCTCGATACAGGCACCCTGGTTGTGAAACTCCCCAGCACAGGCCCCAATCCTTTTCTGCCACAACTAAAGACCTAATTGTTCAGTCAGGCTTTTAACTGGATTTGTGTTGCTGCTTCTTGTATACTATTACTTCTTTGTGTTACCGTTTCCCCATTTTACCAGTTGTTTTTATTATTTCACTTTCATGTATGGGTTTTGTATCCTGCTCTGGATTTTTTAATGAAAAGCAAGTAATTTCACGAACAAACCAACCAATAAGGGACCACCACAGTCTTAACATTATCTTATTTTTAATGTATTGTTTTTATTCTTGTTTTACCTCTGTTCTCTTCACAGCTCTGGAATCTGCTTTGATGTTGAGCAATATATGAATATTGTAAATAAATAAATACATTCTGCAAGGCTCCCAAAAAATACATGCTTACAAAAGTTAAATACTGCCTGCAGCGCTATAGGAAGCCGAGGATCAAAATTAGCCCAAGAAAAAGATTCTGGATGCCCCCACAAGACAAACAGGCCTACCTCGCTCTGCCTGCAGCTTTCGTTGTTTCTCGCGATCCAGCTCAGACTGAATGGCTCTCATATGCTGAAGCACCTTTGGGATTCAAGACAACAGCATGAAATTGTGCCAGAATGGAAAACTTACCAAAGGATACAATTTTTTTTTCTTTCATAGGCACCCAAGACAAACTTAAGTCAGGACATTTATTAAAAGGTAGTTCATCCTGCCAGTATTAAAAGAAAAGCATTTCTGGCCATTTCTAAAGAAACAGTGCTGGGAGATCCAAATGCCATATAATCCATCACTTCTTCCAGGAGCATTAAGCACCATGAACAAAAACATGGAATGGTGTCTGCAGAGCAAATAACATAGAAACATAGAAATAGAAGGGGCCTCCCAGGCCATCTAGTCTGACCCCCGGCTCCAGCCAGCTCCACGCACGCCATGCCCACCAGATGAATGAAGCAAGTAAGCAATGTCACATGTTACTGCAAGGGGAGAGGACAGAAACTCACTCTGGGGCCCCAAAGCCAATTTGTTCTGGGTGAGGCATCGCCTCCAAAAGAAATATGAAAAAGAATGAGCATTAGCAACAATTTACAGTCTTCTATAGGGACCTTCAAAATGGCCATAAAGTATACAGATTAAAAAGGGGTCACTTGGGAGCTTATTGCCAGTGCTTATATGCTTGTCCATACGCAGTACATCCCCCAGAGCACAAGGATCCCTGCCACAGTGTACCACTATGATCTCTCAAATGCTGTCAAAATATTAAAAATGCATAACAAAACAAGACTATTACTTCATTTTATGATAAGAATCTATTCAGATTGTTAGAATACAATGCACAGAGCTCTGTGATGGGAGAAGATAAAAAATCAGTTAGCTCAGAGCAGTGAGCAAAGCAGCACAGAAGGAAACCAAGTGAGAATAAATTGAGAAGAAACCCCCTTACCCTTGTGGCAGCCTGTTTACACTGCTTTTCATCCAAGCAATCTCCAGCTACCTTAGCCAGTGAAGGCTCCAGGGGGTTGTCCTTCAAATCCAGCCACTTAAGGTTCTGAAGAATGGAAAACACAAAATTAGACTCGTTCGACTGCCAGAAATTTCAGTTTTACTCCTTGGAAGTATTTCATGAACAGAAGGATTAATTCCTGAATGGAATGCAATTTGATTTATTGGAGGTTCCTGCTGGTAAAGGGGAGACATTTTTGCTGATTTTCCATAATCTCCATCCAGCCCCACTTCCTTATGCTACTCTGGACAGTCTACAATCCTCTGGAGGCACAGGGGAAGGGGGATCATTGGCATTTGTCTTCCCCCAATTTGACTATTGGGATAATTTTCTCAGTAGACTCACAGTTGGAATCCAAACCCTCTCTCTTTTAGGAAATTCTTTACTTCCCCAAGAAGACATACACACACACACACACACGTATGTATGTATGTATGTATGTATATAAAAGGGATATCTTCTAATGATAAAGCCACAGAAATTAAATGGCGCGCTCATGTTTGTTGTAAAGCATAACACAAGGAAGAGACACCAATTGATTTGGGCAACATATTACTAAGAATTTGGCAGAACTACTAAAAATTACTAAATTGGTAGAAACTACTGAGAACAAATGAATTTAGAGATACTAACAAAGATCTGAACCTTCACCTATCACCAGAAACACTGATCTCTCTTAGAGAAACCAACTCGAAAAAAAGTATATTCTGGGTGCAAATGTTGAAGGAATTACCCGGAGTTGTGCAAAACTGACTGGCAGAGTAACTAATCGATTGTTCAGCAAGTCCAGGTGTTGCAAGTTGACCAAACGACCAAAGTCCAAAGGTAATTGTTGAAGCTGATTTTTACTTAGATCGAGTTTCACTAGATGAGTTAAACTGCAGAAGTCTGACTGGAACACAAACATAAACAAAAAAGTCCAATCATCAATTTAACCAATATTTGAAATATTAGGGCTGCAATCCTATCCACACTTACCTATGAGTAAGCCCCATAAAACTTACTGAGGCATATATATGAGACTTATAGCAATGGGACAGCATATTAAAAAATTAAGAGAGAGAGAGAGAAGAGAAGAAGGGAAGGGAAGGGAAGGGAAGGGAGAGAAAGACAGGAAAGAAAGAAAGAAAGAAAGAAAGAAAGAAAGAAAGAAAGAAAGAGAGAGAGAGAGAGAGAGAGAGAGAGAGAGAGAGGGAGGGAGGGAGGGGGGGAGGGAGGGCGGGCGGGCACAAATAGGTTTGTGCCATAAAAACATTGAGCAATGATAGATAAGGCATGATTTTCAAAGAAGCAAGCAAAATTTTCCATCTGCCAAGCTATATGTGAGATAAAAGCTTTCTCTTATCGTAGGACCAAAAATACAGAAACCAATATCCTCTAACACGAAAGTCATACAGTTCCAACCAATTTATAGCCCTGTAGTTCCCCTGAAGGATCTCCATTCCTATTCTACCCTTTGTTCATGAAGTCTGTTCCCATCTTAACCTCTTAATATCCCCCTTTTTCCAACAACCACTACTGATACACTTGGAAGCCAAAGTGCGTATCGCTAATGCAGCTATCCATCCACACTGAGATGAACAGCTCTGCTATCAAGAAATAAAGGTTTGTTCTGAAAGAACATAGCTGCACTTGCTTCTCTCTGTCTCTATATACTTGACCACCACTCACTTACCCAGGGAACAAGCCCCGCAGCTTTGACTACAATCTCAGCTGATGTTTTAATACATACGTAAGACTGGATTTTAGTCTATTTCTAGAAAGGGTAAGGCTGCAACTTACTGATAAAGTAGTAAGGTTGTTACAAGACAGATCCAAAACTGTTGCCTTTGGAAGTCCAGCCTGAAAATGAGTCAAAGAATAAAATTAGCAGCGCAATCTTAGGTGTCCGATTGAGCTTAAGTCATCATTTGACTACAGTTCATATTCTGACAGTGACAACTGGAAAATGAAACATGGCTAGCAAATCTTTAAGGTTTATCCAATGTGTGGAACAGAATTCTGAATTTGCCACAATATAGATTAAACTTTCCACAGACAATTCCATTTTAAAATTAGCAAAATTAAAGCAGATGCTGCTTTAATGACATAGGAACTTTTGATTCAATCCTACTTCTATACTGTAGCTACAAGATTTGTCAAACACATTAGGAAAGTGTTGTTTTTAATTAATCTGGCTTCCCTGCTAGCTAGGGGTGTGGAAGGCACGGCCTTCCAGTGTTGTTGGGCTCCAACTTCCATCATCAACTGGCTATGCTAGTCCAACAGTATCTGGAGGGCCCCATGTTCTCACCACTGTGCAATACTCCCCTGGTAATTATCAATTTGTTCCCTATTTTCCAAGGATAAATTATCTAACTGTTATTGATTTTAGGCAGATTTATAATCGGTGTTTGCAATTAGTTCACCATGCAAATAGCCTCTTTCTTTCTGATGAGCAATGACTCTACTGTGCCTCAGAGAATCAACGATATCCAAGACAACACCCTGCCTTTTTGAAACAGAGTCACAGCGACGGCAAGAGTTTAGTTACCAAGACCTGCTAAAGTCTTTACCCGTTTGGAACGATGTGCAAACTGAAGCATCACTATGCAGGTTAGTGAATTTTAGACCTACGTGAGAGGCATGAAATCAACTTCAAGTAAGTGAATCTTTATTATAAAGTTTTATACCTTGTAGTCTAGAAAATAAAAGGCGATAATGTGGCAATAGGGAGAAGTTCCCATGAATTTCCACCAAAGCCCAACAGTACTGCTGCTGTACAACTCTTGCTGTCTCCTGTCAGCTATGATGCACGCTGCAGCATCACAGCCTGCTGACTGTGGGGAATGTATGATGCACAGGTGCACAGGGACACACGAATTCACACAGTAATTAAAAGCAGCAATTCAAATAGTAGCAGGGCTCTAAGGCTTCTTTCCCCTGCAGTTAAAGGTCTCTGCACATGTCTGGAGAACAAGGTAGAAATCTACTTTCTCATCAGTTCAGGTCCCTGGAATTGAGACAATATATTTCACACCTGCAGCTTTCTTTATGCAGAGATCCAACTCGTGGAAAGATTTCTTTAATATCCTTGTAAAAAGAGAGTTTAACAAATTTCCCATGAATTTGAGAAATCTTACAAGAGCCAGTACATCCATACAGACTAGACAGTCTATATAATTCTTTGCAATATTTTACAACCAGTAAGAGGAAAAAAGATACTAACCAGGTCTTTAACTGGCACCTCATTCAGATTGCACAAGCTCAAGTCCAACTCATTGCCTTCCAATTTGTCCTTTAGATTCACTCCTTTTCCTCCAGATTTTGCCATAATCTCCAATAAAATGGTCTCCAAAGCAGTCTGGCAAATACGTTAGTTTCCTAGGGACATAGAAAGTTTCAGGGT